CTGTACAGCAAAATTTCCTTTTTGACACTATGTGTCATATATCTGTGGTTCAGTGAGAAGGACTTTGACTCGCTAACCTGGAGGTCAATAGAGTTCATCTTAATTTCCCGCCATTTTTCCCCCTTATCAGTGGTGCAGGACAGAGGGCCTGGCAAGGAACAATGGATAGTCATTCGGATGAGACAAAAAAATGAGGTCCCGTCTACACATTGGCATGCACGTAAAAGATCCCTTGACAGTTGGAATTCGATAAAAGAGTAGGCCGTAATGCCGCTGTCTAGGAAAAATTGCTCTCATAGCACACTGTATGGTGTATGGCCATCTTCATTAACCCAGTTGAAGCAGAACAGTAGGACATTAATTAAACCCTGTGTTTCATTTCACATGTGCCTGTCTTTATTAGCCCAGTAGAGGGCAACTTCATTTCATTTTTACAAAGTGACCCTGCCACAATCACAATAAGTGAACTTTACATTGTTGCAGCTGCAACTATTCGTGAGATTTCAAAATTATTTCTACATTTGCATCTGCATGACTTTATGCTCAAGAATCCGATGGTGAAGACATTTCAAGGTTTGTAAAATAATCTCACCCTTTTACATATTTAGATAAAGTGCACATTTGTGATAATATATGTTTAAATGTGGAATATGTTTACATAGTTTCATAAAACAATTAACACCCATAGTGCACCTGTTGTTGGGCAACAACCATCATTCCAAGTGATTTTATTACTTTCAACAATCCAGGAAGGATGTAGTAATCATAGACCACAAGATAAAGATTACAGATAACAGTTCATTTATATCAACAATGACGGGATGTTGGAGATAGTTCTTCTTCAAGCGTTCCTGTCTGCACTCGTACTGAACTTCAAGCATCGATTCATAAGAGAAATCTTTGTATAACAAGAAATGAATGGAATTCCACGTCTGGTCACCACAATACTTCTTCTATTTTAGACTAACATACGGTTATATTTTCTATGGTCAACATGTGCAATGCTAATGAGGATTGTTCTTCTTCTGTTGCCTCCCAAGTTTCATGTGGTCCTGTCTGCACTTGTATTGAACTTCAAGTATTGCTGCACAAGAGAAATCTTTGTATAACAAGAAATGAATAGAATTAAGTGTTTCGTCATCACAATATTTCTGTCATTATGAGACAAACGTGCAGTTATTTTTTCTGTGGTCATATGTGTAATGCTATAAAGGCTAATTTTGCCTGGAAAGCGATTTTGCCTACTCTTCTTCAAATTCTTACTGTCTAGGCTTCTTTTACGGAATTTAAGGACCTTGGTTAGAATGAGATCATGTATAGTTTTCAATGATTTATACATTAATGACTTTAATAAAAACCAATTATTTTCTGTGAAGAAATGTAGGACGTTATACCCCATTTTATTTCAATTACTTTCTGAAAGGCTGTTTACAATATTTAGAACCCTTGGTGGAGTCAGACACCCCGATTTGGATCTGCCCTTGTGAATCAGAATCAGACTGAATTACAGGTCAAGTATTTCCACAGTTTAGTCTCTGGGCAATAATACATACAAACGTTTTCAGTAGAGAGTGAATGTCGGGTAGATGTTAAAGAAGAGTAAAATAAACTGTTATCCCATGGGAGGACTAAAAATCTTTGATCCAGTCATAAGTGAGAAATATAGAAGCACATGATGATGAATCAGTTCAGTTTAAAGGGAGGAACTTGACCTGAAGTTTACAAACGGTAGCCAGACTTTGTTTTAATGTCTCCATAATATGTTATTTCAGGCATGTGTATTTATGCAGTTATTGGATTTTTCAAATTTGTTTTTCACAACATTCATTTTTATCTTGTTTATTACTTTGATTATCATTCAGTGCTGAGTTTTATCAAGAACAGTCCTTCTAAATTCAGAACACTCTTTCCCTGAACCCCTCTTCCAATTAAGACCTGTTTCTTCTGATCCAGAACAGAACTAAACCCACCCATCCCTTTCCTTGGTCTAGAACTTGACTTTCAGAACCAGATCTTCCATTCCTGATTCAGAACTCCCTCTTACGACATAGAACTTATCCCCTTCTGATCCCAAACTACTTATCTAATCCAGAAATGTTTATCTTACAACATTTCTCTTATGACCCTCATTGATTCAGAAATCACTTTTCAAACAAAAAATTTCCCTTTCTGAACTACAATAGTTCTTATGACCCAGAACTTCTTCTCATGACCCAGAACTTTCTCTTATGAAGCAAAAACCATATTATTTTATCAACCCCAATAGGGTTTTTTTTTTTCAGGTCACCTTTTCATGATCAAAGACCATTCCCATTTCAGTTAACTTTGAAATCAACTCTGATTTTTCTGTACTTTTGTTTGGCAGTAAGTTCTGCACTGTCTATCATTTATTATCTTTTACATCATAATCATCATTACAATAAAATTTTGAGAAATTTGAATGTAAAAATACAAAATAAAATGCATGTTGATAGAATTTGCCAGTAAAAGCTTACTGTATATACTGTTTTTGATTTCGGAAAAGTGTAAAAGTACTAATCATGTTTATATTATTTATGTCATATGGTTGATGTATATTAAAGATGTTATGAAACCAGATATAACGTTGAGTAATAATTAGAACATGGTTGCTACGGAGTAAAAAAAAAAACAACAAACGCCCACAGACTTTCTAGTTTTTGCCAAAAAGCCAATATAACCTTGAAAACATCTTTTTTGCTTGAGTGACAGATTTTACCGAAATCTCTTAATCTTGTGCTGTAAGTTTATTTTGCCATAATTTAATTTTATTACTCTGGTTTGAAAAGGTTAATCATAAATGATGTATTGGTAGAAAGAAAATGTTTGCTCATAGTTCTGAATGAAAATTGTCAGAAATTTGTACTTTCCTCTGCACCCTATCAACCCAACATAATATACACACCTAATAACTTGATAAATTATACCATATATTTTGAATCCTGGAATTGCTATATCCCAGCTTGCTACTTGTCTTTTTTTCTCAGCTGGATTAAATTAGCTGTCTGAATGGGTTGACTTTGGTCTTGAGCATTTCGTTACTTTTCGTGAAAATTTGCAGTGTCTAGGAGAATATACACAATCGTAACTAACTATAACCTTTAACCATGACTGTCAGAACTGTTAAGCAGGTTTTGTTTAGTACCGTATTATCCTAAAGGCTGGCCATGTTGAAACCTAGTGTCCCACAAAGAGCAGGCACACACCAAAAGCATTAAGGATGTAGAGGAGCCCACAGAAGATCGAAGCTTAGGGAACCTGCTTACAGTGTGTGAGGAAACTACACGTCTATGACTTAAATATGCAAGTGTTTTTAAAAAAGGTCTATGTATAGCTGTCTGTGTGTCACATACATAATATTACATCTCTTACTAATATGCACACTATACAGTATATTATTAATCACACTAATTAATTGAGTTATCAGTAAATGTGAATAAAGTGGTTGATTACAAAAAATTAATTAATTAGCTATCACAAATCACAGTGTTTCTCTGTAGTCAATATAACTTAAAGTCTCCGATTGGTGATTATATAAGTCAGACGTCAAAGAAGGATATCTTCAAACCTCGAGTAATTAATTAGAAGTTCATTAATTAGCTGTGAAAACAAACCGATTTTCAACGAGTCCTTAATGAACCTCTTAAATATTTACCATTGTTGTTTATTAGTTATCCAGTAAATAAAACAAAACTCCACCCTTGACTTCAAGTTTGATTTTAACCAAGTGTGTATTACATTGATATCCTGTATTGAAATTCCGTTCCAGTTTAAAGAGAGTTGAACAAGTTTATATTGATGTAACTTGTTGCTAAATAAAGTCAACGATTTCCTTTGATTTCCTACTTGTGGTTTACGGTGAAAGATATTGTGAAAATTAGAGATAATTGCACACTCCTGTCACACGGGTAATTTGATCGTTAAAAATAATATTGGTCAATTGTTATGACGTATTTCATTTTTGTTGCCCTTTAAAATGTTTAATTAGAAATAATATTTAAGATCATATGACTGTTATTACGTATTAATTATGAATGCTATTTTATGCAATAACAAAAATGGTTTTGTAAAAATGAGTTTCATATATTGGTTCAACAGAAATTTAAAACAATTTCTTATGCTGCCACAAGACTGTGAACCGGTCTGTGGCCAAATTCCAGTTTAATTTTGATAATGTTAACCCAAAATAATTGACTTGTGCGGTAGTAGAACAAACTTTTACAGATTATGTTCATTTTCTAGTCATGAAAGGTGCAATAAGTTTGTTATTCCATCTGTCATCTGTAGTGATGGAACTGATTATGAACTGTAATTGGTAATCACAAGGCAATCTTCTAATCTGTCATTTTGTTTCTAGAGCTGTAATAAAACTCCCTTTCCCTCATCTCACAAATTAACACATACAAATTACCTACATGTCCGACAGACTTATTCTCATACTATACACTTGAATTTAATGTCTAATTGCGTTATTTGGATTTTTTCCGAAAATATCAATTTTTTAACAAATTTGGATTCAATCAGCTTAAGTAGAGGCCCATCAACAATTTTTAGTGGAAATTAAAGGTAGTGCAGGCTTGTGTTGACTATATATCTTATGTACGAAGTGTTGGTTTTTTTTTCAAGGGGGCGAGGGGGGTGGGGCAGGGCACGACACACTAACCACAAACACTAGCTGTGGAAGCCATACTTTGAAACAGTAACAATATGTTTCTGTAACTTGCCAAAAATGGTTGAGATCAGAACCTTTCGTTGCATATCTGCATATCGGAGCAGGGGTGGACGACACAAACCACAAACACTAGTTGTCGAAGCCATACTTTGAAACAGCAACAATATGTTTCTGTCTTTTAGGATACTAGTCTCCCTTGTGTTGCAAATCTGATCATAGTTGATACAAATAAACATAATAATTAAAGTTTTAACACCATTCATTTTCTTTGCGGGAGCAAAAGTTAAAAATCAAATTTTGATGTTTTCAGGTTATTGTTGATGATATTGCTGTCTCTAAAGTTTATGAATTTCCGTGTCAGCGATGGCTGGCATCTGACGAAGATGATGGACAAATTTCTAGGGAGCTGGTGTTGAATGTGGGGCCGAATGATGCCGCTAAAGGTAGGTTAAAAGATTTGTTTGGTGTTTTTTAATGTTTGTAGAAATAACACATAACAGAATACATATTATACATGACTATATAGCAGTAACGGTGACAGAAAGGGTGGGGTGGGCATGCTCCCCCTTAAAAAAAAAAAGAAATTAAGTGATTGACATGATTAATTAATTAAGCTAATTGATCAAATCTTGATATAAGCATGAAATTGGATTCAATTTATAAAAGATTTAAGTGAAAGAGATCCTTTTGGAATTAATTTGGAAAGCACCATTACCGCTTGTGCCGTAACTGCAATGTAGTAATATTATATAGAACATTAGTCTGTAGTTGTGTGGTTATTGCTAACCAAAGTATTTATCTAATTATCTATATACCATAGCGTATGTATTTAGACCGTTTTTTTTATAGCATACGGTATATAGATATATGACGAATAATTGTTTTTCTAATGTACATTAAATATGGTGTGTAAGTAAAGCTAGTAAATACTTTGTTGTTTTCTAACTTTGTACCATTATTTATTTGCTTGTTTATCTTCATCCTCCATATTGAAGAGGAATATATGTGATCTAGTCATCCCTTTTTTTCTGAAAATTTAAAGGAGCTAATTGTCTTTGATTTAGGTCAAAATAAAGGGTTAATTGAGTTGATCTGATTGTTATTTCAATCAGGGCTGGGACAAAATCTAAACAAGTACATTTTCATTTTGAAAAATTGAGTGAAAGATAGTTTACAAACTCAGTTCTATCTCAGTAATGACGCCATCTGTGGACTCAAATGTAAACAGATGCCCACTTCAAAAAGCAAATAAACGCATTACATTAGCACTTTTAATTTTTATCCAAATCAGTGGGGTCTTACATTTTAAATTAAAAGTAAATAGAACCCAGAGGGATGACTTTGACTGTTTCCAATATCGGTTCAAAGATTTTGGAAGTGATGTACCTATATATTTTGACTCACTGTCATGACGTCTTTATTTTCTTTTTTTAATCTGCAAATTTTTATCCAAATCAATGAGGTCTTATATTTTAAATTAAAAGTAAAAAAGAACCCAGAGGGATGACTGAGACTGTTTCCAATATCGGTTCAAAGATTTTGGAAGTAATTTACCTATATATTTTGACTCACTGTCATAAGTCTTTATTTTCTTTTTTTAATCAACAAATTTATAATTATTTCTAATCTATTGTATCTATATGAAGGAGGTGGTAAGTAATTCTTATAAATTTATTTACACTGTAAACTTATGTAGGTAGTAATTATTATTTAGTTTACACTATAAGCATGTAGGCAGTATTTTAGTATATAGTAGTATTTTAGTAACGTGAACAGTAGCAGATATTGGGTAATTGTGAAGATGCAAGTAGTTTTGCAATCTAATTACACTCAGTCCAATCAAAACACAGATCCTGTTTCGTTTTTAAATTTTAAAATGTCATTTTACTTGTCTTCACTGCACCAGGATCATACGTTCGATTCTGAGGTTTTACGTCCACTTCTACCAAGGGTGATATCGTAGACAAATACACCAGGATCTGGAAAAGTTGTTAAATATTCTGCATTCTGGGTGATGTGAGCCAATCAAATGGTCTGTTGAGTTGAGATATTGTCATGTGGAACCATGGGTAGACAAAACAAAGTAAAAGTTGTATTTCCAAATAGTCAAACCTCTCTGATTTGACCTCCCACTACAACAGGTCAGATCCTAATGTATTTACGGCCATTGAACATATAAAAAAAACGAAAACGAAATATAGATCTGTATTTTTATTTGATTTTATTTATTTGGTTTTCCATTAAACTCCAAAGATATGTTTGAGAAAAGCGTGTGCTGGCCTATGACAAGAGCATAATGAAACCTTTTGACCTTGATTAGACAGCCAGAAAATCTGCGAATATTTCTCGTTTATCTGGAGAAGGTCAATTGAATCTTAACAATTTATTTAATGCACATTTTGAACTGGAATAAAACAACCAAAAAATAAAACAAACTGAAATTTTTTTATTATTTTAATTAGACTAGCAGTATTGAAGTTTATTTTATTTTATTTACATTTGTATGATGGTCCTTATTTTAAAATTTATAAAAACACATAATTTACTATGGATTTACAAGTTCTTAGTTTATTTCATGCACTGTTTCAATACTGTTAATGGTATCTTTATCAAGCAATGATATGGTCCATATTTTTAATACTTAGAGAAATGTGCTTAGAGAAATGATACAAGTAATGTAAATCCTTTGATTCTGGAATTTTGCTCTGTAAATCTCACACTGTGACAACAGAGCAAAGGCAGAGCATTAGAGGGTTGACAATTCTTAGAATTTACTACATTAAAGGTGTAAAGAATTACAGGCCTAAAATAACTTTTATTTTTTAAGCAAATGGAATGATTGCTAAGATTAAACTTATAAAAGTTCATAGATATAAAAGATCCATAGTTTAAAATGTGTACCGGTAATGCTTTCTTTTTATTACGATTACAATTTACCATTACCCTATAATGTCTGCTATGTGCCGTATTCATTTGGCTTGGATTACCTTAGCTCTGTATCTGAATCCATATCTTGGAAAGAATAAAGAAGTTGTAGCCATTAATCTTTTCAGTATTTGGAAATAATGATATATTTTAGGGTAAAATGAGCTAACAAGCCGCTTTAAACAAATGTCCCTTGAAATTGAAATAGATATCAGTTCATGTATTTTGAAAAATTGTTCAATTTTGGGGGCCATTATTATAGTTTTAAAAAGGAGCATTAAGATTTTAATAATTACCTAATTCTTCATGTATTCTTAAAACATTTTGTACTTTTTAAAGTTGGTGATGATGACGATGATGGTAAATCTCTATATTTTCTAGAATGGCATGTTCGATGTTATATGAATGACATATTTATAGTAGGATGATATAGATAGAACATGTATCATTAGGTTTTCGTATCCACTTTATATAGCATGAAGTATATTATAAGGATGATATAGATTGAACATTTATCATTAGGTTTTGGTATCTACTTTATATAGCAAAAATATAGCATGTAATATATATATTATGAGGATGATATTTATAGTAGGATGCTAGATTGAACATTTATCATAAGGCTTTGGTATCCACTATTAGCATGAAATATGAGAATGATTGACTGAATGTTTATCATTAGGTTTTGGTATAGCAAAAATATAGCATGTAATATATTATGAGGATGATAGATTGAATATTTATCATTAGGCTTTGGTATCCACTTTATATCGCATGAAAAATATTAAAGGATGGTAGATTGAACATTATCATTAGAATATATGGGATATTTAAGGTAGGATTCGATATATAGCATGACATTTTGGATAATAGGTTGAATGTTAATCATTAGGGTTTGGTATATAGCATGATAGATTGAACATTTATCTTAAAAGATTTCGTATTCACTGTATAAAGCATGAAATTTAGTATTAGTATTATAGATTGGACAGTTATCATATATCCACTTTTTTAGCTTATTAAAAGCAAAAATTTAGTATGATAACACACAGACTGGAATGGAATTTTCACTCTTGTCACATCACATTATACTTATTAAAGATGCCTCCCCACGTATGTGATTTGATGATATATTTCAACTCAATTTATCCACCAAAAGCTGTCTTCAATTCCCTCTCAAAACATTTTAATTACAAGGAAATACTCCACGCCTTACAATCTATTTTAGCAGCCTTCACATGTCTCTATAAAGAGCCAAGCTATTGGAAGATCCATTTTCAGTTTGTATTTGTCTTTAGTCGCTCTCCATTGTTCATAAGTTAGACTATCGAAATTCAGATTACTGATCGAATAGAATGTTTAATAATTGGGTAGGATTGTTCATTGTTGTATTAAACAAGAAGCCTATAAATTCTTTTCACTTTTCGGATCATAAATTTTGAACATGATCTGCAGAGTTAACTTTAAATTCATAGTTTTGAGCTAGTACAGATGACATTGCTGGTGGTGAGTGCAATAGGGAGCTTGACACCCATTCCCCATACTCCATTTATGGATACAATTATATTGGCATGAGATACAAAAAAGTGTAATCATCTTTTTCCGAGGGAAATTGTTGATACATTATACTGAATGTAATATTTTGGAAAAATCCCAGAGGCAAAACGTTTTTGTTTTCTTTGAAATTTCTGGGTCAGTAGTTTGATTTGTTGGTCGTTAATTCAATTGACCTAAGATAACAGTTTCTTAATATGGCGTGCAGATGATGGAGAACAAATTATAACAGAGGAGAGCCTGAGAGAATAGTTCAAACTTCAGATAATATAAATACTCGTGACATTAAGTAGGTAGAGGCTTAGCCGGCAGGGAGGCTGTCAAAAAGCCAACTTCCAAATCAAGATACACCTTTTATATTAGGAAGAATTTTAAGCTTAAAGGCATTAAAATCGCATCAGTCGGGCAATGATTTCCAGATGAGTTTTAAACCCGATCAGCCTCGAAAACTGTAAGAATTTAAGTGTTTATTATTCTAATGATAAAATTTATTTCTTTATTCTGTTTTCAAACATATGTTGCATGGGTTATGGAGGACAAAATTTAATATCATTGATAATTCAAGTCTTCATTATTGCCATATGATAGATGGAGATATACTGATGCTCAATTCTGTGATGAATTTTAGTTGGAATCCATTGTGGTTCACTTTGATTATGTCATGTTAATTATTATTAGTAGTATTTTTAATACAAAACATTTATTTAGTGCTTTGTAATTTATATTTGTACTTTCTGCGTTGCGGTAGATTAGCATGCAGGGAACTATAAATATCTGCATGTGTAAAATTCAAGTTGTAAAGATAATATATAAGCGGTTTTATGGCATCAGTAGTTAAAAGTGCATCTAATTTGAGCGAAATTTCTAAGATTAGAATAGCATAGTTTGCATCAGGGCTTTCAGTTCAAAATTTGTTTAGCCAGTCAATTTTTGATCTGTTTTGTTTATTTCAGATTGACAAATTATTTTTCCTAAGAATAGGAATAACTTTGTTTTTCCTAATATTTTTAAGTGTTTTTACACGTAAAAACGATAAATTTAACAATATATAATATTTTCTAGGGTTAAATTTTTTGAAATTGTAATTTTACAACACGTAAATTGCACTTCCAGTCATTCAAGACAGTCAAATATGATTGAAACCAGAGTCCTGGTTTGCGACTATTAGTTATATGAGATTCCATACCTAGTTGTCAAACGTCATACCAATATGGCAAGCAGACTAAACAGGGGAAACAGTATAATGAGAACCAATATTTAAATTATTGTCAGTAAATATAGACAATAATTGTTATAAACCAATTATAATTTGTGTAATTATTTAACTTTGAAAAAATTGCTGGATTACCATTCTTTTATTTCATTTATACACAATATGTAGCATTAATGTTTTGATCCTTGTACATTTTCTGTAGCAACCACCTCTGACAAAATATGATTTAGATTTATTTTATAGGTGGAACAACATTCTCTAAGGAATTTTAATGAGGCATTTTATTTTATTTAGTCACCAATCTTAGCAAAATGCAAGGAATATTTCATGCATTCCATTCTTGAAATATATTAATGCATATATGTCACTTCAAGTTTGTTTTTTTCTGAGAAATACAACTCTTAGCACTTTATGTGTATTGTATTAAATACAAAACAAACTGGATAATTCACTTATATCTCAAAATAAACACTTCACAAGAGTAAGAAAAATCAGCTATTTTGCATGAAAAAGATTACAGAATGCTAGATTGGTCTAGAAAAATTAAATGTGGTCGTGTGAAATTATTAAAATCGGTGTAAACTGTGAATGGCCCTAACTTATGCTAGAATTTGTCAACTTAGAAAATGTAAACTTTAAATGGCTGTAGCTTATTTTAGAATCGATCAATCTGATTGTGTATGATCTTAAACTTAAGGGGATTGGATGGCCGAATGGTTAGCACGTGCGCTGTATCATAAGATCTGTCCTTGAGTCAACTGGCATGGTTTCAATTCCCTGGTTGAATGTGACAATGAGTAGGGTCGCCTGTCCAACCTCATGGGTTTTCTCCAAGTCCTCTGGTTTCCTCCCACTGCTAAAAACTCCTACGCACAAGCGAGTTATTGAATAAAATTGAACCATATGTTAGTTCTGAAATGACCTAGTTTGTGTTGAGTGGACGTTAAACCCCATTTCGCTCTCTCTCTTAAACTTTTTATTTAACTTTGAATTTATGTTTTTTTGTATCTAGCGTTAAGTTAAAGAATAATGATATTCCATTTCTAATTGTTTTTGGTAAAACTCTTCAAAACAAAATGGAGGGCTTAAGTAGCCAAGATTTTATCTGAATTGCTGTTTATTTTTGTAAGAGAATTAGAAAATAATGTATAATTTACCATAGAAACAAAAACCTTTATTTCAGACTTTGATTTGAATATCTTGTAAACTTCAATGTTGTGAAAGTTGAATCTCTAAATTGCATATCAGTTAGCAAGATTTGATGAATTGTAATTCACTATTTGGCAGTTTTAAATCGTCAAAATAAGCCAGCCTATTATTTATATTAACTAAATTATTTTGATTGGGCTTTTGTTAATCCGAGCCGTGAGATTATCTATCATTAATATTTTGGTTTTATTTTCTTATTTAGAGGTTGAATAATCGTTTTGTGACCATTTTAGTGTGGATTAAGCCATGAAAAATGAGATATAGTTGAAACAATGCTAGTAACGATCAAAAGCTTAAAGTGAAATATATATATTGGTTAAATCTGTCTTTGAAAGAATTATTCATAGACTGTACTAATTTGATAATAGAAAGTTCTAAAGTAAGAGAAGGAAATGAATATTAAAGTTGTTTTTCTTAAAAAAGAATATGCAAGAGTTGTAAACTGTTTTTTATTTTTACAGGTATACCATACATTATAACCGTGGTAACTGGAAACAAAGCCAGTGCAGGTACTGATGCTCGCGTCTGGATCATTCTCTATGGCGGGAAAAATGGTGTGGAGTCCAGTGGAAAAATATGGCTGGATTCAGGAGAATTTAAGAAGGGCAAAACAGATTTATTTAATGTTGGAATTGCCAGGATGCTCAGTCCCTTGTCTAAGATTGATATCGGCCATGATAATAAGGGTGTGGCTGCTGGATGGTTTTTGGAGAGTGTAACGGTGTATTGTCCTACAGCCGGAATTGAACAGTTTTTCCCATGTGGAAAATGGCTGGCTATGGATGAAGGTGACCGAGTCATCAGCAGAACCTTGACGGAACAAAAATCTAAGCGTATCAAGAAAACTAAAAGTAAGTGAACATGGTTAATGGTACAGGATAAGGTTTCACAATAATATTTCTATACATATAAAAATTAAATGTCAAGTTTGTCAGTCAGAACGGACAAATATCTCCAAAACTAGAGTAATTAGGTTTAAAGTCTTGTGAACACCAATTATACCCAGGATTCTTCTACATGCATGTCAAAGTGTAGACCTGTGGTTTTTCATCCCATCCGAATTACTTGGCAAACTCCGTATTTTTCGCCTCACAGAGTCGAGGCCAAACCTGATCAGACCAACACTGACAATTGACAAAATCCTAAAGGTTCTACTTAGCCTACACTAGTATTTAAACCTTGGATATTTTTGACAGGTCACTGCTCTACTACTTGACCCTCTCCCCACTCTCCTTCCCCGCAAAAGAAATACACTCCAGTATTGATTTTTTTACGATATTATCTTGATATTTTTCAGATATAGAGGTATATAAATTGGGCATAATTTAATATTATATTTTGTTTATTCACTGTGTAAAACATGCATATCCCCTTACAGGTGTGATTTTTAACCAGAACACCTCTCACAAAGGGTAAAAAAAATAAAAATATTTTTATAATTTATTACAGAAGGATCATGGACAGTTTGGGTTTATACGACGGACACGACTAATGCTGGAACCGATGCCAATGTCTTTATATGTTTATATGGTGACAAGGGTAAATCAGACGATATTCAATTAGAAGGTAAAGGTGATTCATTCGAAGCTGGAAACATGGATATCTTTAATGTGAATATGTCTGAAGTCGGTAAACCCTATAAGTTACGTGTTTGGCACGATAATAAAGGTATAGCTGCTGGCTGGCACTTAGATAAGGTAAGTAATATATATAAATTTAGGGGAATTACAATTCGATCGGGAGTAAAAATTTGGGGGAATTGTAAATCAATTCAATGGAAACTATAAATTTAGGGGAATTATATTTGGATGGGGAGTATAAATTTGCAGGAATTAGAATTGGATGGGGAGTAAAAATTTGGATGAATATAAATTTGGGAGAATTTTAATTCAATGATTGTTGAATTTTATGGTTTGAACAGTTTTTATTGCCTTGAAACAATATAGTATATATTAATAAACACAAATCTCACTCCCCCTAGTTCGTGGTCATCGCCCTGGCCGGGCCCGTAGCCAGCTCATAAAATTTGATGGGGCTACAGAATTTTTGGGAGGGGCTGAGGATGTGGCCTGCTAAGAACGCTCCTAAGAAATCATTATTGTTGGCGAAATATTGGGGGGGGGGGGCTAATTCCTGGCTTTAAAACGGCTTCTGTGTCCCTTTTCATTTGATTTAAGAAAAAATAATTTGTAATTGCAGATCGAGATAGAAAGTCAAGCTGCCCAAGAGAAATATAAGTTTGACTGTGGTCGATGGTTGGCGACTGATGAAGATGATAAATGTATAGTACGAGAATTACCAGCAGAAGGACCAGGCATTAAAACACCACTTAGAGGTAATTCTCATGCTTTTAACCCTTTAGCATTTGGTACATGTAAATATTGACTACAAACCAGTTTCTTGAAGAAATTTAGAGAAAAGTGATTATATTAATACTGGTACATCCCTGGACAGTCCGAAACAGTCTGAATCGGCTGTTCCTTAGACTATGTCAAACAACCCGAGATATGTGAATAACTTTCCGTTTTATAGGACCATTTATTTGTTTGATCACAGCTGTGCACATGTCACTAATTGACTTATTGATAAGGAGGCACTACATAAGAGACATGCAGAATATCTAAACTGACTTAAAACACTGACCATCCATAGATTGAATGATGATCCCATATATATCTGCAGTTGTATGTTATTATGACATGAATTTACAGATATACCTAATTGACACATATTGTACAATATTATGACATATATATTTACAGTTGTGCATTAATATGACATATATATTTACAGTTGTGCATTATTATGACATATATATTTACAGTTATGCATTATTATGACATATATATTTATAGTTGTGCATTATTATGACATATATATTTACAGTGTACATTATTATGACATATATATTTACAGTTGTTCGTTATTATGACATATGTATTTACAGTTGTGCGTTATTATATTTACAGTTTTGTGTTATTATGACATATATATATATATTTACAGTTGTGCGTTATTATGACATATATATATATATTTACAGTTGTGCATTATTATGACATATGCCTTTACAGTTGTGCATTATTATGACATATATATTTACAGTTGTACGTTATAAAGTAGAAGTTTATACAGGAAATGTTAAATATGCTGGAACGGATGCCAATGTCTACCTCAATATATTTGGTGAGCGCGGAGACACTGGTAATCGCTTCTTGAAACACTCGGCAACAAACATTAATAAATTTGAGAAGGGAACGGTAATTATTTATTGTTTTTTTATTTCAAATTGAACAGATTAATTTTCTTTACAAAAAACTACAGTACTAACATGTAAAGATTAGTCTAATAATTTTGAGCTGTGTTCTGAACAGGTAAAATTTAATGGCATATTTTTTTTTTCATTTCAAGCCATTACAAAGAAATCAGGTAGTAATAAAACATCTTTAGGTTAAATGTTTTTAGGTCACTGTTTTATGATTTGCATGTCCGTTGATAGAATTTTAGTTTAAAATTTTTGAAAATCATTGTTGCATTATTATTAGCAAAGTGACAAAGAGTAGGATCACCCACCAAAACACTATAGGTTTTCTTCGGGTCCTATGGTTGGCTTCCACTGCTAAACAACCTGACACGATTAGATTTGCGTCCACACCTCCCAAACACTTCTGGCTTAAACCCATACATTTTATAGTACAATAACTCCAAAAGAGGCATGTTTATTTCGTAATTTTACATTTGCATGAATTGCATCCAATATTTTTGCTCGCTTACTTAATTTGATTAACTATTTTATGACCCTAAGTGCATGCTAAAATAAATGGTGGAAGTCTACAATAGATATGATTATTTCTAATAATCCATTTCTTTGATGGACGGTGGCTGGTAATGGATATTGTTTTAAGGCAAAAAGAGGAAACTTGCCATTAAGCTGTGATTTTTTGGTCATAATAGATAAGCATAGCCCAATATTTTGGGAATCTGTTTAGTGTTTGCTATATGTGCTGTTTTGCAATCCCTACACATCTCATTCAATATAAATTCCAGATCCTAGCAAATTTTACAGTGGTTTGCTGTGGATATTGTTTGAAAGATGAGATGGGAAGCTTACCTGTAACCAGTGTACTTTTTGTGGTAGTGGGTGGGCATAGCCAAATTTTGTTTTTGGCATGCGTCTGTTTAGTGTGCGCTATATGTGTTAGCCTCCCTCCGTTATAAAGTCCCTGATCTGCGCAGTTTTACTTGTGATTTATTATAGTTTTATATTTATATTTATTATTTAGCTTGTGTAATATGTTATTAGATATTTGTTTATAATCATTATGGTATTTTTGACACCTGTACTTTAATTTTTAAGAAAAAAGAGACGCAGTGCTCTCGGTTTTAGATTTTTTTCTTAGAGGTGCAAAATGTAAAATTATTTGTTTGTAAATTAATTTCTAACTCCAAGCGTTCGTTTTGGTTAAAATTAAAGTTGATATAATCCAAATTAAAATATGTTAGATACGCAGAATTTCCAAACATGTCTGATTAATTGTGCATAGACTAAAGTTATTGAGGGTTTTTTGATGTTGTACTCAGATGTGATTATAATTTAAACCTTGAGGAATCAATTTTAATGTCAGCATTTTAGTATACCTTAGGTTTGATGACTTAAATCGTCCACACTAGCTAGTGCTAGCCATCTTAATAGCACCAAATGTTACTTTCATACGCTTGTTAAGGTCGGCTTACACCACACGCTTCTCACAATTTATTAAAGATGGTTTTAATCCCTTTTATTTGATATGTCCCTGGTTTTAAATTTCAAAGAAAATGAAATTGGCTCTTTTTCCATCTTTTAATACATCATTCATGTTAACATGTTACAATCTAATGAATATTTGATTACTGTTTCATTTATTTTGAGTTTTTTGGACATATTTTCCATGGGATACAATACTGGAAATAAATGAATCGTTATTCAAATCTGTTTTATATCGTATTTTAATTTATTGCTTCATTAGTTTGTTTTTTTCTTGGTCATATTTTCTTTGGGATACAATATCGTAAATAAAATGAAACATAATTCAAGTTATTGTTGATTTTGCCGAATTCGTCTTTTGGATCAATTTTTTTTGTCGCCCAGTTGGGTTTGTTGTTAATTCTTATTTTGCTGTCGTAGATTTCATTAGTATTCTTAATTGTATATTTTATCTTCTAGAATATATTTTTAATTGTATTTAAAATAGATGGATGAATGTGAAATAGAAGCTGTATCATTGTTAAAGTTGAATAAGATTAGAGTTGGCCATGATGGTACTGGACCAGGCAGTGGTTGGTTTTTAGATAAGATTGTAATAAAACAAATTGGTACCAATAAATATGATACAGCATTCACTTGTAACAGGTAGGTTTGTTTTTACAAGTTAGATACATCTATCATAAGGGATGTGGGGGGTGGGGGGGACAGATCTAGAAATAACACTGGATATAAGTGCTACAGAAGATGAATAATAATAGGCCTATAAAGTCAGGGGAGGGAGGTTTGATAGATCTATCATAGGGGGGAGGGGGCCTTTACAAGATCAATAGAACTATCATTGTGGGTGTGTGGGGGGGGGGGGTTTATTTACAAGCTCAATAGCACGATCATTGTGGGAGGGAGGGGCGGGGGGGAGGGTGTCTTTACAACTATGATAGATCTATTGGTAGGGGGGAAGGGGTGCCTTTACAAGGTCAATAGAACTATCATTGTGGGGGGAAGGGGGATGGGGTCTTTACAGGTTTGATAGATCTATCATAGGGGGAGGGGGTGCATTTACAAGATCAATAGAACTATCATTGTGGGAGGGAGGGGGTGTCTTTACAAGTATGATAGATCTATCATTATTTTTGTAGAGTGGTTTGGTTTGAAACCAACCCTAGATCTTCTGTTAAGCGATAGTCTTATATACATATGGCAGGCTTGTAGTCAAAACAGGTGTAATTTTTAAGTAGATTGACCAAAGATGTCTACCATGCATGTGGTCATGTCTGATCTATGTTGTCTATTTACAGATGGTTAGCAGAAGATGAAGATGATGGTCTTATAGAAAGGGAGATAACTGCCAGTGGCTCACAGATGTTGAACAGTAAGTAAAGAATTAGACTATATTGTTTCCGCCCAACCTTTGTTTAGCGTTATTGAGATTAAAAACACCTGACTAAAGTTTGATAGAAAAGGAGAAACTAACACCGTCTCTACATACATTTGTTTCTTATTTTAAATGAAAAACATCAAAAGTACATTTGATTGGCTGTGTTTTGAAACGAAAATAAACACTCAAACAAATTAATCATACATGCATTTTATGTCGGTGACTTGAATTTGAGAGATAGGTCATTTTTCAAAGCACCTTTCAGAATAACAAATTGAAATGATTTAGACTAAATAATTCAGAAAAACAAGCAATTACTTTTAAACTTGTTTCTTATTTTGAATGAAAAACATCAAAAGCACATTAGATAGACAGTGTTTTGCAACGAAAATAAACGCTCAAAGAAATTAATCATACATGCATTTTATGTCTGTGACTTGAATTTGAGAGCTAGGCAATGTTTTAAAGCACCTTTCAGAATAACAAAATCACCCCCTCACTACACCAGAGTTGATTAGTTGGTCTAATCAGACGGTTCATTTAATTCTTTTAGTTTCAAAATGTCAGACGTTTTCACCGAATTTACATTTTTTTTTTGTTTCTAATTTTAGCCACTTCCTACCATGTCCAAGTTAAAACTGGTGACTGCCGTGGAGCTGGAACAGACGCAAATGTATTTCTTAAACTATTTGGTTCTCAGGGTGACACTGGTCAAATTCAGCTCCGTCAATCAGATAATTCTAATAAATTTGAAAAAGGTCGTACAGATCTATTTAAACTGGAAGCAACAGATATTGGAAAGGTAAAATTACAGAAAAAGAAAAAACTATTGTATGTTCTTGTTTAGATGGTGATTTAGTAAAGTTTGGTCACTGAACATTGCAAAGTCATGGCAACTTTATTAAATTCTGACAAGGGCAGCTGTCTAGTCGTTTGGATGGGATGAAAAACTGAGGTCCCGTGTACACATTGGCGTTCATGTTAAAGATCCCACGGCAGTAGGAATTCGATATAAGCGTTGTCTGTAGTGCCGCTGTCAGGGCAAAATTTCCCTCATATCACACTGTATGGCATATGCCCATCTTCATTAGTCCAGTTCGGAGCAGAACAGTAGGACGTTAAACCCTATTTCATTTCATTTTATTAAATTATATATTTGAAACTAAGAAGTGAGCTTACGATTGGCAAAGGTTTAAATGACATAAACTTTCTCGATCATCATCAGGATCGAACCTGGTACCTCCCGCTTAGTGAGCAGCATCTCACTCACAGAACAACCATAACACCTCTTTTTTTTTTTTGTGACAAAGACTGATATCTTTTCCTCCCATTACTAAGTACGGAATAGTTACTGAAACAAAGAATCAGTGTGTTAATACTCTATTTACGATTAATTTATGTTATTAGACTCACATGTTTTCCTCCCATTACTAAGTACAGAATAGTTAGTGAAACAAAGAATCAACGTGTTAATGTTCTATTTACGATTAATTTATGTTATTAGACACATATCTTTTCCTCCCATTACTAAGTACAGAATAGTACATACTGAAACAAAGAATCAAGGTGTTAATGTTCTATTTACAATTAATTTTAATTATTAGATACAACGTATCAAGATTGGTCATGATGGAAGTAAACCAGGTGCTGGTTGGTTTTTAGATAATGTTATTATTGATGTACCCTCTAAAGGTAAACATTATGAATTCGCTTGTCATCGTTGGTTGGCTAAAGATGAGGAAGATGGTCTCTTAGAACTGGAGTTAGAACCGTCCGTGGCCGAAGATCGGGAGAAAAGTGAGTCTCAGATTTCTTATTTTATTATAAAAATTCATAAAGCTTTTTGACATTTTTCCATACATGAGAAATTTCAGGGGAAACAAGTCAAATTTTAACGGTTGCGTTTTTTGAATATGTATCTCTATTAAAGTGAGGGATACACAACAATATAGGCCATGATCAGTTTGGTGAATTTCTGATCAAAAGATTTTCTGATCTGATACTAGGAAAACTCTACAACAGTTTGAATAGCGGACAGAAATTTATATTTTTGATCCAGAATACGTCCTCATTTATTTCACCAAATGATATGCTGTTGGTCCCAGAATGAACCAAATATAGTACTAATTAGACTGTCCGACATTTCATATCTTTTTGTGTTTAAAGCTATACCATATGAAGTCACAATCTGGACATCGGATACATCCGGATCTGGAACAGATGCCAATGTTTTCCTCCAGATGTATGGAGAAGGTGGAAAAACAGAGGAACGCATCCTTAAAAGCAGATCTGATGAATTTGAGCAGGGAAAATGTGATAAATTTAAGGTAGTGTATTATTTTGAATATAAACCTGTTAAGAAGAATTATAATATTGCCAACACAACAAATTTAAAAATCTCAAAGTTCTTATTATCCAAGTGCACATATCAAAACATAACATGATTGTAAATTCTGGGTTAATAGATTATTTGTTATATTTAGATTGAAGCTGCAGATGTTGGACCATTACAAAAGATACGAATTGGACATGATGGTGCTCGGAAGTTCGCTGGATGGCATTGCGAAAAGGTATAGTTCTTATGTTTTATTATATTTACATAGGTGAATGGCTAAAAGGAATATCAGTCCAAAATTGATTAATGGGAGGCACTGCTCGACATTTTAAAAATAATTCATTTCTAATAGTGCTATCAGCATGAAATTTTCAGGAATTGTTGAGATAGCCAAAATATAGTCTAGATTTTCAACAGATTTAAATCCCAACTGTGTGGTTCAACAGCGGTTGATGATTTACCATAAAAATGGATAATCAAGAGTTTTATCGTAACAATGGTAGCAATGACAATCGGGGCTACAGTGTCATTGAAATGAGGATTTCTCGGCTCAGAGCGAAGTAATTTTACCGACATTTTCAACATATTCCCTTTACATTATCATTTTTTTAAAACTATTTTAGTGAGAACTGCCAGCTCTTTATCTAATCTTCCATAATGCCACTTTGAATTTGAGTACATTTTAGCATGAAAGTCATGAAAAATTAGATATTGTGTAAAAAATGCATGAAAGGGATCAACAACATTAATAGAAAATACTGCAAAGTATTGAATTGACTCCTGCATTTCATTAATTTACAATTTTATTGTAGATTCTCATACAACGACTACCAACATTAAAGAGAAAGAAAAGACGACCTACCTCTGCTTACAATAGCGATTCCGATTCAACGAGTCCCTCCACATCACCTCGACGACGTCAATTAAATCGCAGAAAAACGAAATCAAACCTGGAATCAGTAGAGGAGGTAGATGAAGATACTGAAGATTATTGGTTCTATGTTAATCGATGGTTTGCTAAAGATGAAGATGATGGCGCCATCGTTCGAGAGCTCGTTCCAACTGATAAACAAGGTCGTCCATTAGCTGGTACCTTAAAAGGTAATGTTTATTGTTCAAACATCAGGGCCACACAAAAGACGACCTACCTCTGCTTACGGTAGTGATTCCGATTCAACAAGTCCCTCCTCATCACCTTGACGTCAATTAAATCGCAGAAAACCAAAATCAAATATGCTCAAAACCAGCCAGCGCTACAAATTATCTTCACTAAAATCTTTTGATGGGCCTACTATTATTTAATCGGATTGTATCCAAGCCTGGAGGTTTTCTATCTTTAATATTTTATTTTGTTTTATCGACAGAATATGAAATAATTGACTGAAAATTAAAAATCAATTTAAGTTTATTTTAGCATGAATTCAGATGTGATAAATATTGTCTGAAAATGCAAATGATGATAATTGGCTTTATAAGTAAAACGTTAATAAACTTTTAATTTCATTTGGTTTGTAATTTGTTTGTATATTTTGTACTTAATTTCAGAGATAGAATATATTGTTTATATTTGGGTTTGTAATTTCAGATGTAGAATATATTGTATATGTTTGGGTTTGTAATTTCAGAGATAGAATATATTGTATATATTTTTGGTTTGTAATTTCAGAGGTAGAATATATTGTAAAGGTTTATACTGGTGATGTGTCTGGTGCTGGAACAGATGCCAATATATTTGTTAACCTATACGGAGAAAATGGTGATTCCGGCGAACGACAAATGAAAGATTCAAATAAAATGAATAAATTTGAAAGAAATCAGGTCAGTAGTTTTCATCAAGAAATCCTTGTTATCTTAATGCCAAAATTGAATACTCAAATAAGTGATTCTCTTGGTATGCTATCTTGAACACCATTTAGATTGAGAATTTAACAAGCATCTTGGAATCCTTCGATCCTTTGACAGAATACAAACACAAAAATAAACACCTCCCTTCCACCATAGTATTTTGGGAAGAATTCCTGAGAACCAGAACATTTTTTATTGTATGGCATTATAAAACTTTCTCATGTTTCTGTTAAAGGGGCATTATGGGAGATTAAATAAAAAGTTGACAGTTCTCGCAATAATAGTTAAAAAATAGATAACATAAATAGAATATGCTGAAAATTTCAGTCAAATTGCTCCACTCTGAACCAAGATATTAGCGATTGAATTTTAGGCTCACCTCGATTATCATTACTAAAGTCGGTGCAATAAAAAAAAAAGTCTCAATTATCCATTTTTACGCTTAATTATTTTTCAAAAATCTGCTAAATATCACAGGCTAGCGATGGCATCGAGAGTTGATTATGGTCTGGATAAGTTAATTAATGTCTAATTAATGTCTAATTAATAATTTAGATAACATTTCAGGCCTAAAGAAAGACCTGCAATAGGCATAATGTATGTTTAACTAACTTGAGTTGATGTTAGGTGTTTCCCCTATGCTATATATAACAATATATACATAAATAAATATAAAAAAAATACGTCCAAGGAAAAAGTTCACCACTTTCCTCCATTCTGACATTCATTAAATCATATAAGCTAGCTGTCTGCCCTCTATAGGTGTCTTCAGATATTAATGAGAAAATTTTTTACAAATATATGTATTTTAAGAATATGTCAGATGTTAAACACCATTTTCATTTCATTTTTAACAGGAGGATGTATTTAGTGTTAGAGCTATAGAACTTGGTAAACTTGTCAAATTAAAAGTTCGTCATGACAACAAGGGAGGTGGTGCTGCCTGGTTTTTAGATCGAATAGAAGTAGTAGATACTAAAAAGGACAGAAGGTTTTTTTTTTTTTTAAGTTTTTCTTTTTCTGTAATCATAGGGGCCTAGATTTTATTTGACAATATATCAACCATTTACCAATGATAGAGAAACTGTATGAATTCTTATTGAAGATAGATCCCCACATTAACACCATAGGTCAAGATATCTCAAGCCCCATTCACACTTGAGAAAGGGAGAAAGATGGACCCGCACATTAACGGTGTGGGCCAAGGTTCAAGCCCTGTTTACACTTGACTTGTTCACTGACATGGAAAGTGTGTCTAGTTGATGATTAGACAGGATACATACCATTGAGAGAGATTTGGGTTTTAACATCCTTTTGACACAAACTAGAGCATTTTTGGACTAACATTAAGGTTAAATTTTATTTCAATAATTTGCTTACGTGTACCGGTCTTTAGTAGTGGGAGGAACTAGAGAAAACCCACGAGGTTGGACAGACAACCCTTCTCTTTGTCACGTACAAACAGGGAATTGAAACCATGCCATTTGATTCAGTGACAGACCTTATGATCCAACGCCCACGTGTTAACCATTCCACATAACAATAACATAGAGACCATAGACAAATATTTGAGTAAGATGGACAAGTGGGAAAATTATCCATCCACAACATGAAGAAAGTAAGTTCTTAAAGAGACATTCAACCTAATTTATTCCTGTTGAACTCTGTGCAGAAATATAGCAAAGACATTAATTGTTAAATTTTTATTATTTTTTTCAAGTTATTTCTTCCCATGTCAAAGATGGTTGGCAACTAAGGAGGATGATGGACAGATTGCTAGAGAGTTGGTACCAGTTGATAAATCACTGAAGCCTAAATTATCTAGAAAAGATTCACAAGCTATCTATAAAGAAATTGCTTTAGAACAAAAAGGTAAAATAAAAGTAGGAATTTTATGAAAATGCGGACAGGGGCTCTTATACACCTGCAAGGGTCTGTGGTTGTCTTGGAATCATTGTCAAGAAATTCATTTGAGCAAGTTTTGATAACAACTCAAAAGTTTTGAAAAATTCCATAAAGATTAACAGAGAGCTTTCGAGTATCAGGTTCACAAGCCTTAATTATATCAGAATATGAACAGAAAGATAACTCTGGACAACACTTTGAAATTTACAATTTGAAATTTTTCTAATTCATTTGGGTTCTTCCTGATGTTAGAAATATTCCATCAATAACTCTGTGCTATATTATGTCACCAAGATTTGTTATATGTTAACCTTAAATGTGTGTGTGTGTGTGGGGGGGGGGGTATAAACAAAATAAAAACTCAGGAAATCAAACAGATTTGACATGGAATTTGAAAACAATTTCATGCAAATGATATTTAGGGTAAGTGTGATAATATATTTATAATTCACTGGCTCAGACTTTCCAATTTTAGGCATCAAGTCCTGTAAATTGAATGAAACAAACAAGTTCGCTTTTAATATAATCTTTGATTCTATTTTTAGCTGCCATGACAACATATCATGTTACTGTGGAAACAGGTAAACAATGGGGAGCAGGAACTGATGCTAATGTGTATATTATGCTGTTTGGAGAAATAGATGATACAGGTGAAAGAATCGTTTTAAATTATTTTGCTTTCTTTGCAGCAAACATAAATTTTTGATAGATGTGCAAACTCCTTCAGCCCCAATCTTGATCTGTGCCAAAATATGGTGACCAGAAGACAGAGCTGTAACTAGCTCAAAGCAATGAAGGGGGCGGGAAGTGTTCTCAGGGGTGCTGTAAAATTGACAGACACTGTATATCTAGGTTTTTTTTATGGTCGACAATAGAAGTCATGGAATGTCAGAGGGACAGTGCACTTTGAAGATCTGATTTAGCTTAAAATATAGATATATGTTACATTACGGATTTAGAAACCTGGAGGACAAAATCTCAGTATACCTCTGCAAAATAACTGTCTAAACACTATTTCATTTTAAAGGGCTGTCGTAGTTGAGAATTAAAGGCACAGGACTCTTGAAAAAATGACATGATTTTCAACGATGATAGAGAAGAATCATAAAATTTGTCTTGCTCAATTTCCACTTAAGAGGTTGAAAAGCAATGTTTTGGGATGGTACGAAAAACCAAGCTCCACTCGTTTACACTATTTTTGCACCAATTTTGCCAGTCAGTCTCTGGTTGAGAAATTTTCCTGAAAAAACATTTGCATGCCAAAAATTCAAGTACTTTAGTAAAAGTTTGAATATTGTATAACGTTTAACATTAGGCTATGATAAAATGATAATCAGAAGAATATTGTTATTTTTAAGGTAAAATGTTCCTGAAGTCATCATCGACAAACAAAAATAAATTTGAAAAGGGACAGAAAGATGAATTTATATTAGAAGCTGTACAGATTGGAGATTTAAAGAAAATAAGGTATGGAATATTTATTACATCATCATTATCATCGTAACAGCAATAAAAGTGATAATAATTGTCTTATTATAGGGCTGAAATTATAACCTTGTGGCGTGTGATAGGCCCATATTACAATTGGGGGTGTGGGTGGTTTAATGCGTGCACATGAAATCATAAGGTCTGTCATTGAGTCATGTGACGTGGTTTCGATTCCCTGCTTGAACCTGACAAGGAGTAGGGCCGGCATGTCCAACCTCATGGATTTTATTGAAATAAAATTGAACCATATGTTAGTCCCAAAATGACCTAGTTTGTGTCGAGTGGATGTTAAACCCTATTTCTCTCTCGCTCTCTCTCTCTCATATTACAATGTCACAAGAAAGATATTGCTCTGTTCTCTAATTCTGTTTAACTGTTTCCATCACCGTATGGCAAACATTTTCCAGATGATGGGAGCAGCCTAGGAAAATGCACACTCCATGTCATGTCTGGTATAAGGAACACTATCTACACAAATTATTGCATCTTTGCATCGATCAGAAAGGGTAATAATTGGCTTCAATATGAGATGGAAAAGTTCTTGTCCGTTGAAAAAATTTCTCACATATAACATAATGTATGGTGTATGCCGATCTTCATTAGACTGGTTCATATAGAAAAGTTAAAAACCCATTCTATTATCATTCCTGCTGGTTTTTGTTGTAGTGGAAATTGGTTATTAGTCTTTGATTTTTATTTCGTAGAATTGGACATGACAATGCTGGTGGTGGCGGTGCTTGGTTCCTGGAGAATGTTGTTATAGATGCTCCATCTCTAGGTAAAAAATGGGTGTTCCAGTGTGGTCGCTGGTTGTCGGAGAAAGATGACGATGGTAAATTAGAAAGAGAACTCTACCCCCAGGAACTTGCCACAGAGGAATATAATCCATGTAAGTTTATTTTATGTATATATTTAGTTCATTTGATAGCATCTAAATTCAAGCTATATGTTGAGTTGCTCGATGGATCTGATACAATATACACGTGCTAAAACATATCTGATGGTTTTTTCCCGCTTGTACATGACAAGGAGTAGAGTCGTCTGCCCACCCTTGTGGGTTTTCTCTTGGTCCTCCGGTTTCCTCCCTATGTGCAAGCGAATTATCAAAATAAAATTGAACGATGTGTTAGTCCCGAAATAACCTACAGTGGACTCTGTCACATCCGACATCGTGCGGGATCGTTACAATAATTCGGATCACACAGCGTTTCGGAATACCGAGCTTTCTTCAAAACCGGAAATACTGTAACTTCAAAAACCGGAAGTAGTTTTATATTGTAGCTTCGAATCACCAGAATGCTATTCCCTTTATAAATGATAAACTTTTCTGTACTTTCAAAATTTTATTACATTAAATAATTAACAATAACAATATATTCATAAAATCATTTACATGTAATATCAATGCATGTGTACAATCTATACTAATATTTGTGACTGTCGTTTGTCTGTCTGTCTGTCTGTTCGGGGTTGGCGGCTACACTAGGTCTGCCCCGAGTCTGAAATTTGGGGTATAGGGGTAGCTCGGACCGGTGAGTAACATAGGCCAGGTGGCGTTACTCTACCACTTCCGGTTTTGGAGTTATGACCCCCGAGCGAAGCCGATCTGTTCGGGGTTGGCGGCTAGACTAGTTCTACCCCGAGTCTGAAATTTGGGGTATAGGGGTAGCTCGGACTGAGGAGTAACATAGGCCAGGTGACGTTAGTCTACCGCTTCCGGTTTCGGAGTTATGACCCCCGAGCGAAGCGGATGTCACAGCAATCCGGAGTCATCAGAGATCGGATGTGACGGAGTCCACTGTAGTTTGTTTCAAGTTGATGTTAGACCCCATTTCATTTCATTTAGAAAAATAAAAAACAATTCCAGAAAAAAAAAAATTTAAACACATATTTTAAAAACATGTAAAATGTTGAAAGAAGATCGGGGATCTTTTAGAATGGGTGAGACTGGATCAAGGTGAATTGGTCTGATGATAATATCAGCGTGCAAGTTTAAAAATCTTACAAGAACAAAAATGAGATTTCCTGAACTTGATCAAACACAAAAATTGTTTCTCTAAATAAACTCTCCAAGTGTAAGGGGAGTGCTTCTTTGTTTTGAGAAGTGTAAGTTTTCGATGTGTAATATCTCTGCCATATATCAGAAAATTAAATAGGACTACCTATTTTTCACAACTTCAATGTTTTTAATATCAGACCTTAATATTCGAGGCGACTGGTAAGTATGCATGTGCGTAAGCATGTCTTAAACCTGTATGATTGTAATATTAATATGAATTATTATAGGTATTCCGTATGAGATAACTGTATATACCACTAAAAAGGCAGGTGCTTCTACTGATGCTGATGTATATATTGTACTATATGGTAGAGATACATGTACAGAACAAAAATCATTATGTGCTACAAAGAGAGAACGAAAAGAATGTTTCAATAAAGGCAGTGTTGATAAATTTGTGGTCGAGGTAATATTGTTAAAGCTGCATTCATTTACTTTTAAAGGACAATATCTAAATCTTTACTACTTAATCCATGTGGGTTGTTGGATGGCCGATTGGTTAGCGTGTGCATGCTGTATCATAAGGTCTGTTATTGAGTCAACTGGCGTGGTTTCGAATCCCTAGTTGTACGTGACAAGGAGTAGGATCATCTGTCCAACCTTGTGGGTTTTCTCTGGGTCCTCTGGTTTCCTCCCACTGCTAAAGACCCCTACGCGCAAGCGAAATATTGAAATGACCTAGTTTGTGTCGAGTGAACGTCAAACCCCATTTCTCTCTCTCTCTCTCTTATTTAAATTTAACTGCAAAGCATCATTTAGATTTTAATTTAGATGGTTTAAACAAAACTTTTAGGTTAAATACCATCTTGGCTCTGATGTTCATGGATAAAAATAGGTATTTTACAGATTTCGACAGACGATTACAAGAATTAAAGATGGTGTAGACATAAGATCACAAAGAAATAAAAATTAGAGTTTAAGGGTGGAAACTTACTTTATGACCATTACTTTAAATGACAATCTTGAATTTTTCATTGAAATTTTAGACATTTTAAAACTTATTGTTAATATTTTATAATAGCTGGAAGATGTCGGTGAACCAATTGAGAAACTACGTATTGGCCATGATGATTCTGGTTTAATGGCAGGATGGCATTTAGAAAAGATTGAAGTACGCAAACTTCAAGAAGGAGCACGGGTAAATAAGTTTTACTTTCGTTTTATTTTATGTATTCTTGAGAGAATTTCAGATTCAAATGGTGGGAAGTACTCGATTGGACGTTCCGGAATTGAATTCTCTCAATCCCAAAAAAGAGTGACAATCGACTGAAAAGGGGTATTTTGGGCTAAAACGCATGCGGTTGAAACATATTCTTTGTGTTTAATTACGTCATGATTCTACTCACACCACCTCCATAGTAGGGACTGACAGAACTGTGACAGGACTGAATTCCGTGTTATTCGATTGCAATTCTGTCCATTCAGGATATTCTGGACTGTGAATTGAGCATCCCGGGTGATATATATCTGTGATTAGCTAAGAGGAAATTGCTTTACCATTTGGAAATCAAAAATGTGGTGATGATAAAAGAAAAACATTTAACTTTTGCTGACAAATGATGTTAGTGTTTTACATTGCACACACATGCTATCCAAAGACTTGTGTTTTTTTTATTTTTGAAACTGTGTGTGCTAAGTTAAGGGATATTTATTTAGAGTAATAATAAATTTGGTGCAATGGTTATAATCTGATTCCTTTATATTATATAGTAACTGCATGAATAGTTTTATTAATTTTCATTCATAGATTCATTACATGTACATTTGATTTTGAGTCAGATTAAGACTTTATTGACCCCTAGGATACAGGTACTGTGAGGGACCCAATTATATTTTCACCCACCGGTCAAATTTGCAAACAGCATGTTGTTTTAAAATACTATGTTTATTTTAGATACTGGTATATATATATACACAGTATATTGAAGGAACATATTTTTAGATAGATAATTTATAGTACTTATACTGATTTTGCTTTCACATACACAAAGCTTATTTAAATTTATTCACATTAAAAAAATATTGAGCAGAAATGCCATGGTTTAAGCCATTTTTTCCTGTTTCATTTCATACCCCTCATAACCATTGTAATTTTAAAGTAGTTCATTTTTTAGTCACAAAATGACCAAATTATTGAACTCCTCATTGTTTTTAGTAGCTTGTGTTCTGCTAGCAATATTATATGGAAATCGTGCAATATTCAGGGATATTGGGGCTGCACTTTAAATTAAGACCTCAGACGGTGTTGGTTTATAACAGACATTATAGCATTATGTTGTTTGGGGTGTGGTTATTTCGTTTATAGTAATTACATTGAGGCTTCACTATAACAGCACTTACGGTAGACTCCACATATTCAGGTCTGTTGGAGCTGCACTTTCAAAAAAGGCCTCAGCAGGTGAAGTTTTATAACAGAAAACACACAGTATCAATTCACAGAAATTATGGCATTATAGCAAGTCACCTTTATATTGCACTGGAACACCTTGGAAGGATTCGCTATAACAACACTTATGTTAGTCATTACACCCACATTATAGCAAGTCACCTTTCTATTATACTGGAACACCCTGGATAACAACACTAACGTTAGTCATTACACTCACATTATAGCAAGTCACCTTTCTATTATACTGGAACATGAATACGCTATAACAACACTTACGTTAGTCATTACACTTGCATTATATAATACTGGAATACTCATGTTATAGCATGTCACCTTTATATTATACTGGAATACCTGCATTGTAGCATGTCACCTATAACACTGGAATACCCGCGTTATATTGAAAGGCTTCGGTGTTGGGAACGATGTTGACTGACACTTTTACTAAAACAAGCTTATAGTGAAACATCTTATAGTGAGGTCTCAGTGTATTTATATATATTATATAGGTCTACTAATTTTTTTTTACTAACATACATCATTTGTTGCTTTTTTATGTTGTTCATTTAGAAAAAACTTGGAACCACCAAGAAAATGGTGAGTGATAAGAGTGATGTGATAAATACTTTAAAACCTCTATATCATAGAAATGTTTGATGTCTATCTTCAACTTGGTCACATTGGTTCAATCTAGCATGGTTTGTACTGATGTGCCAGCTCCATTTCTTTCAGAGAACTTTCACTCTTAAGTCTTTAGATTTAGTCCTTACTGGTATGACTGAAAATTGCTACATTGATTCAGTCTAGCATGGTTTGTACTGATGTGCCAGCTCTATTTCTTTCAGATAACTTTCACTCTTAAGTCTATAGATTCAGTCCTTAACTGACTGAAAATTGCTATATGATGCCTACAAATGACATTTGTTGCGTCAAAGCTTTTAAATTTGACCATATGGTGATTGTAACATCTGTTGTCACTTCTCAGTTAATGATTAATACTGTATTAAATCATTCTATTCTCATGTATAAGGTTTTTTGTTTTCATTTTTGCTTTTTTTTTACTGTTAATTTTAGCACAAAATATCTACTGCAATACTTTCAATGATGTCTGCTCCTATATATATATATATAGCACAATAATTAATTATTATAGGTTCTATATCTTGTATCTTTTTATTAGTAAAATTCTTATTTGATGTAATAACTAGTTACTGTATTACTTGATAGTATTTATTAAATCTCAGATTACAATATGGTTCAGGGGGGGCACGGTGACTAAGTGGATGAGACGCTGACTCGCTAGCCTGGTTGTTGGGTGTTCGATCCCTGCATTGGCCGAGAAAGTTCATCCAGATTTTCTGGCGTGGTTCCCCCTTGTCAGTGATGCAGGACAGCTGTCTAGTCATTCGGATGGGATGAAAAACCTATTTACACATTGCCGTACACGTAAAAGATCCCTTGACAGTTGGAATTCGTATATGAGTAGGCCGTAGTGCCGCTGTCGGGGCAAAATTTCCCTCATAGCACACTGTATAGAATATGCCCGTCTTCATTAGCCCAGTTCAAAGCAAATCAGTTGGACGTTTAACCCCATTTCATTACAATATGGTTCATCAGCTTGTCACCCAGTTGCTGTTTGTTCCCAGAGATCTATGTGTTGTCTCTGTGTTAGTAATTTAATGTTTTAAAAGTGTTTAATCTGAAATTGTTTTCCAATAGTCACTCTAAGGTGAACTTTGAAATATCAGGCGCATGGAAAACTGATAACCAGTGAACAATTCCAACATAGTTTAAACCTGTAAAAAATTTCTAATACTTCTCACAATCCTCGACAAATCTAGTGCTAAGATATGAAACCACCAACGAAACATGAAATTCACCTCAATTCGTGCTAGAAAACATACCAGTAAGTCAATCTTACAGCAAACCTTATAATTTCTAAAGGAAATTTTTCTTTTTTGTTTTAGGGATCCATTACCTATTCATTCCCCTGTAATCGTTGGTTGGCCAGAAACGAAGAAGATGGTGCCATTGAGAGAGAATTATTACCAGAAAAAGCTGTAAAAGAAGTGGTCAATAAAGATGGTGAAGTCCGAGCGAAGGAAGTTAAAATATCAGACAGACTCAAAGGTAAATTATTCAAGTGGATTGCCTTGGATCAAGGAGAATCTGCAGAATTTTGTCATTTGTCATGGGTATCCCCTGCAGGGCTATTAAGCAAATTATTCTCGTGTTGACACAACTGTGGTCAGGTATTCAAATCAATCGTACATTATAAAGATCACTTACTAAGTGGAATCAATTGAAAAGAAGGTTAAAACACCACTATGGGAAGAAATGTTGTTCTTAGGCACTTGACATGTAACAATAAAACTACCTTGAATATATATTAGTTATGTGCAAATTCCATCCCTTTTTTTGTGATGTATAAATATTGAGAATTTAACCTGCAGTGAAATAAGTATCTGATTCGTAGGATGGACGAAACAGAGGTCATTTGAGTTGGTCATTGCATTATAGCAAACATATTTTTAATAATTAACATGATTTTATATTTAATTTTAGCCAAGAAGTATACAGTCAATGTTTATACTGGTGATAAATCAGGATGTGGAACAGACGCTAATGTCTTCCTTAATATATTTGGTGACCGTGGTGATATGGGAGAACGAAAATTACATCAATCAGAAACACATCGAGATAAATTTGAACGAAAACAGGTTTGTTATTTTTAGAAGTAAGCCAGCTGAAATATAAGTTGTATTGGTGCTTCAGTTTTTATCAATCGTAGATAAATCAACCGAAGATATATATCTCATACGCCCCTTACTCTAAAAATACCTTCTTTATTTGGATTATTATTGTTCTTGGTTTTTGATTCAACATTTTATACTTTTAGGTTGATGTATTTAAAATTGAGGCAGCAGATTTAGGAAAAGTATATAAAATTAAAATCCGACATGATAACTCATTGATTAATCCATCATGGTTTTTGGATAAAGTAGAAGTATTAGATCCTGATGAAGAACAGCCGTATGTTTTCCACTGTGAACGTTGGTTAGCTAGAAACAAAGATGATGGTAAAATAGAAAGAACTCTGTATGTCAAGGTAGGACACAAAAAAAACCCTACAAACAATTAGATTTTAGAAATTGTCAGTTATTTGGGAGGTTGGATGGCCAAATGGTTAGCATGTGCGCACTGTATCATAAGGCCTGTCATTGAGACAACTGGCGTGGTTTTGAAACCCCGGTTGTATATACCTTGGAGTAGGGTCGCCTGCTCAACCTCGTGGGTTTCCTCCGTGTCCTCCAGTTTCCTCCCACTGCTAAAGACCCCTACACGCAAGGGAATTATTGAAATGAAATTAAACTATATGTTAGTCCCGAAATGACATAGTTTGTGTTGAGTGAACGTTAAACTCTCTCTCTCTCTGTCAGTTATTTTTACCTCTGGTTAGAATATTGAAATAGATGGGCGGTTTTACTTTTACTACAGAAACTGTTTTAAATGACAGCTGGGTAGAATGTAACACATTGAAACCTATATTTTTCACAGAGTCAAATTGTTAATATTACCTTTTGTAAATTCAATCATAGAAGATGTTCATAGCTTGTATAAATGTGATAGGATATTGTTTGACTCGTACAATTGCTGAAATTATCATTATTTAACTGTATGTGCATTATTTAAGTGCACTTCAAATAAATGAAGTCCTAGATAATTTGTTCAAGATATCATCTTATCTGATGATGTATCCTCGGACAATTTGATCTTTGTGCTGGAAATTTATTGAAAATATTGAAAAGAATGCAGATGAAGACCAATCTGAGACGAGCACCAGAGGGGATGTGTCTGACATTGTCTGTGACACAAGTTTTATTTCCAGGCTTGATAATCTAAAATTATTTATTGTAATATATTTATAGGGTTATGATGGTGATATGTCGAGTACTGGTACCTTAAAGTCAACCAGAATAGGATCTGTATCTAGTCTTGATTCTATACGTACCAATGATCCATTTGGTAAAAGTCCCAGATTAAAACGATCTCAGCTTTCATCATCTTTAGAAAACGTACCTGAAGGACCTTGTAAGTTTTATTGCAATCAAGTTTTATCCAACATGTTCTTCTGTGACATAAATAGTCTGATTGAACTTTACATCTATCTTAAGAAATAGGGTGTGTTTGTATGTGTGGAGGAGGGGCGGGCAGAAAAAGGGGAGTCACTTGAATCATAATGTCAGTCAGAGTCAAGTGGTGTAATTTCCATCCCAAGGTTGTATGTGATAAGGAATAGGTATTCGATGTGGTATCAAGTGCTACGGAAACTGTAACCATATGCTGTCTCATGTAATCACTGAGTGTAACTTTCAATGTCTTACAACACAGTCACAAGCTAGTAAATATCACCCTGTATGCTGTCCCATGTGCTAAATCACTTATTATAACTATCCATGTTATTTTACAGCTATTTCGTACACAGTGAAGGTTATGACAGGTAAAGGAGAAGATAATGGTACAGACAGTAACGTCTGGGTTGTTATATACGGTCCTAAAAAACGGCGTACAGAACGCTTATTCTTAGAACTGGCCCAGAAATCACGATTTGAACCAGGATCATTAGAAACTTTTTCATTGGAAGCCGTGGATGTTGGTGAAGTTAAACAAGTTGAGGTTAGTGAAAAAAACAAAAAAACATAATGTGTAATATACCCCAGTGTTTAAAATGTGTTTTGTATTTCAGAGCTTATGTACTTTCAGCCATGGTTGTGATTTTCTATGTATTTTTGTTAAATTCAGTGAGAACAGTGGGCAAGGTGGTCACAGAAATTCGGGCAATCATTGAACTTCAATCAATTCTGCTAAACACTTTTGGAACATCGAGGCTCAATTTCAAATAAGAATTTTCATGTCCATTGTATTCCTATATAGGGTACTGGTACCAAAAATCTCACTAATAATGTCGGGAGATTTATGTGAAAATTTGGGCACCCGAACCTGTGCCACTCCAAAATCAAATAGTAGTCCTTTACACCTTTGAGTGAGTAGTTGAGGGTTTCATGATTGTTTATGTTAATTTGTTTATTACAGCTCGGTCATGATGGTACAGCACCAGGTACGGGGTGGTTTGTAAACGAGATGGAGGTTGATATGCCGACTAAAGGAAAACATTATCATTTTACATGTAACCAATGGTTAGCTAGAGATAAGGGAGATGGAAAAACTAGTCGTATATTCAGTGTTAGTGATGGTCAGAGTTCTGTGGTCTCATATAAACCTAGTAAGTTATAATATGAATAATAATTATTTACTGTAAACCTAGTAATTAGTTATAATTATTTGCTGTAAGCCTAGTAATTAGTTATAATTATTTGCTGTAAGCCTAGTAATTAGTTATAATTATTTGCTGTGTACCTAGTAAGCTATAGTACGAGTTATAATTATTTGCTGTAAGCCTAGTAATTTATAGTAATTTATGTTGTGAAAAATTTCATAAAAACGTAATTATTATCAGATTGCCCAATTTTTTTTACAAGGATATGACACTAAATTGCAATTTTAGACTGAATCCAGCACTATTTACATGGTTAAACATCCATGGATCCCTCAGATCGCGCACCATGTATTTCAGAAATAGTATGACTGCATCGCCCCACCTATTACACCCATCATAATTTATTGCCTTTACACCATAACTTAAGATTGCTGAATAATATGTGTTTTAATAACAGTGAGGTAATAATAATAATAATAATGAGGTTTTATATAGCGTCTTCTCCATGTTGACACATGCTCAAAATGCTTTTTGTAATGGCTCTACTGGTAAAACTGTTGAAACAGGAAAGTCTTTAGTGCGGATTTAAATTGATTAAAAGTTTGTTGATTCATGATCTGTTGTGGAAGTTCGTTCCATAATCTAGGACCAGCTGAACTGAAAGACCTATACCCATATGACTTTAAATTATATCTTGGAACAACTAGTGACTGTTTGTTTTGAGAGCGAAGTGATCTAATAGGGTTGTAGTCATATAAGAGTTCAGATAAGTATTGAGGAGCTGCATTATTGCGACATTTATACACTAATGTTAGTATTTTGTATTTGACTCGCGCCTCAGCAGGTAACCAATGTAAAGAAGCCAGCACATTCTGGATGTGATCAAACTTATGGTTTATATGTGTTTTAATTACAGTGAGTTAATGGTTTATATGTGTTTTAATTACAGTGATAACATATGAAGTAACAGTTTCTACTGGTGATGTAAGTGATGCTGGTACTGACAGTAAAATCACTTTGACGGTCTTCGGTACAAAAGGATCTACATCACCAACAGAGTTAGATAAAAATGAAGATCGATTTGAGAGAGCAAAGGTTGATTTCATGAAGGTAAAGACAAAATCTTGGTTCAATTAAGATGTTAGCCTTTTACCACATCTTGAGAAGATTTATAAATTTCATACCCCTTATCCTTAGTAGTTTGTCTTGTCCTCATGTTTGTCTTTGGTTTTGCCTGTAGTGTGGTAATCATGCACCATTATAGTTAATTGTGTATGTTACAAGTCCCTGTAGGTTACAGGTCCCTTCGTTCAATATCAGTTCTCGTGATACGAGACATCCGGGTTACTGGTATTGTAATGGCGTTTTGTCAATTAAAGTTATCAACAGTTGTCGCTGTCTGTGTTTGTCCCTGTAGTGCTTCCCACTAAACTGTCGTGGTGGCTGGAGTCAGTGCACTTACTATTAGACTGCTTAAAACTGTTCTCTGAGTTAAGTGACTAGCCCTTCATATGGTTACACCTTACATACTAATTCTTTTGGGTACCTAAGCTACAACAGGTGGTGAAAGGGTCTAAGACCTGTTTATCAAGGCTGGTAAATCAGTTGGACTTTGTGCAGTTCTCCTATTAAAAACATATAGCTTATAGATTATATACCAATACAATCCTTGTTAAAATTCTCTTGTCAGCGCTTCAGGAATTAAAATGGAGGCTATGTTTATATTATAGATGGAGTTAGAAGATGTTGGTGATGTAAAGAAGATAAGAATAGCTCTAGATGGAAAGGGTAGTCGACCAACATGGAATCTTGATAAGGTAAGAAAATAATGACTTTTTGTAATAATTTGAAAATGATGATTCTTATATTTTACAATTTTGCTTCCTGTGTATGCCATTTGCAGCATGTTAAAGATTACTGATGAGTAGGCTGTAAAACCGCTGCCTTGGCTAAATTTCCGTCATATCACTTTATGTAATGTATAGCTTCAATAATCAATAGCCCAGTTTGAGCAGAAAAGTAAGATGTTACTTCACATTTCATTGCATTTCAAAACTTATTTTCAATTAAACATTTCAAGTGTGAAAATCTCTGCTGTAGAAATATTGCTGTTTTTATTATTTATTTTTTACTTACAAAAAACTGATATTTATTTTATAACACAAAAAGACTACAAACTTCTTACAGCCAGCTATGTGTTTGCAAAATTATTTATTATTATGAATAATATGTTAATAAGTGATGATTATTTAAATTATATTTGAGATTGAGTTACGAAATATGAAGACTGGTGGATTATCTGTATTCCACTGTAGAGATTGGTTGAGTAAAGAAACATCTCTAACTCGTGATATACCAGCTACTGAACGTGGAAAACTGGTCATTTCTAGTAAGTATCTACGTATAGAATTACAGAAAATAATCTTGCAAAATGTATTTTATAGATTTTGTAAAAGAAGAAATTTGTGATGGCTTGATTTTTCTCCCACCAAGGTTGTACCGAATATGGGTTGATGGATACCCACACACACTATTATTCAGTGTATAATTTTTCTCCCCCTAATCCAGATCCAAAAATTAGATACATTTGTGATTATCTAGACATCCCATCATGACTTAATCATGTTTTGGATATCGATAATTTCTTTATGGTTTCACAATGATAATGGTCCTGTCTGTAACTAGGGCATACAGGGTTTGACCCTCCGGATTTTCCAGTTTGACTTTCCTGTGAAGGTCAGAGAAGAAAAAGCATCCATTTTTTCGGATGTGTATTCAAATTCAATGAAGAGTAAGCAGAAAGTCATCCTCATGGCACATTGCATGTCTTATGTGCAAAATCTAAAACTTAAGGTCCACTGCAGATTTGATCAAGGTCGTGAGATGTAAATAGGGGTAGGGCACATGATTGTTGACAAGACTGTGGGTTAGGGTTAAGGTTGACCAAATCTACAGTGGGCCTTAATTTTTAGAACTAACCATATCTTATCATCATTAAACCAGTTTGTACGGATAGTATCGTTGTGAAATAACCCTTATTACAATAGACAGCAGACAAGTCTATTATACATATTGTTTAGTTTTAGGGGAAACAAATTTGAAATGAAAATAGTTTTTTCTTAAAGCCAATTTTTAAATTAAGATAGATTTTTTAGTTAATTTTAATCAAAGAACTTGCATCGATGACATTTCCTGTACTCCTATGTTCAGTTTTTTTAATCTTCAGTAGCCAGTGTAGAATAGTAGAACGTCAAATATCATTTCATTTATCTTTAATTTTTCCTACAGAGACTGATTATAAAGTGAAAGTAAAGACATCTGATATTAGAGGTGCTGGAACAGACGCCAATGTTTATATTGTAATGTTTGGATCAAATGGTGATTCTGGTGAAATACATCTCAAGAAACCTGACAATAATAAATCACCATTTGGTAATAACGCTACAGATGAGTTCACACTAAATGATTTATTGAGTTTAGGAGAATTGAGTAAAGTTCGAGTTTGGCATGACAATAAAGGTAATGATTGTTAATAATTACTTAAAAATTAAGATTTTGTTAAGTGGATAAAAGCAGATATTATGTGAAAAGATGTGGCAGCTGTGGTGGCTCAGTTATTAAGATGCTGGCTCGCTAAAGAGGAGGTCTCGTGTTTGCTCCTGGTGTTAGCTGAGAAAGTTCCTCATAGTTTTCCAGTGGTGCAGCATCAAGGGCCCGGCAAGGAACAGTGTCTAGTCATTTGGATGGGATGAAAAACCAAGGTCCTGTGTACTCATTGGCATGCACGTAAAAGAACCCCCATTTGATTTCATTTCTATAGGCAGGTCTACAATGTGTGCCTGTGGTAGTCTAGTGATCAGGGCATTGGACTTACAACCAGGATGTCCTGGGATTGTATTCCGGCGAGGGTCAAGAAAACTCTTCAGATTTGTCAAGTTGGCCTAACTAGTCATTCACAGGTGACAAAAAAAAAAGGTCCACCTGTGTATAAGTTGGTGCACTTAAAAGAACCACTGACAGTTGAATAAGCAGAAAGAGTTAGCAGAAGTGCTTCCTCTAGGCTCAAAATTCTCCTACCTCCTCCGATAAATTTCCAAAAAATGCTTAACATGACTGAAACAGGTTGATGTGACGCAATTCTGTGTTACTCAGTTCAGGAGATTCGGGACTGACAATGAAGCACCTCCAAGATTATCTGATTTTAAAAATAATTCTCTTAATTCCAAAGTTAAAACAACATTGTTTTATATAGGCCTAGGAGCTGCATGGCATTTGTCATATATAGAAATAGAAGATTTAAGTACAAGAAAAGTTTATATGTTCCACTGTGATAAATGGTTATCTAAAACTGAAGATGATAAACAGACTATTCGAGAGTTAACTTGTAGTAATGCTGCTAAACCAGGCGGCACTGGTAGTAGTAAGGATAGAATCAGTGAGTATATTTTTAAATTAATGAAATTAACAACATGCCTCTCAAAACTAAAGGTTGGTTGGATGGCCGAATGGTTAGCACGTGCATACTGTATCATAAGGTCATTCATTGACTTAACTGGCGTGGTTTCAATTCCCCGGTTGTACGTGACAAGGAGTAGGGTCGCCTGTCCAAACTCATGGGGTATCTCTGGGTCCTCAGGTTTCCTCCCACTGCTAAAGACCCCTACGTGCGAGCGAATTGTCGAAATAAAATTGAACCATGTGTTATTCCCTAGTTTGTGTCGAGTGGAGGTTAAACCTCATTTCTCTCTCTTTCTCTCTCTTTCTCAAAACTAAAATCCTCCTCTTTCCTAAGCCGCGGGCAGTAGGTGACTGGATGATCTATCTTGTGTGCTTTAGATCATAAGGTCTGTCATTAAATCAAGGGGTGTGGTTTTGATTCCCAGCTTGTATGTGACAATTATGTTAAACTCGTGTTTATATTTTGTACATACTTTCATTATATATTTTTATTATCGACTTTTTATGTATTTTTCATCCCTAAATGTAATATTATGTCATAACTATGTATTGTTTACATGCTACCCGAAAAGGGGGTTTTATGTAATAAATATCTAGCTACAGTAGAATCTGTATTTGGCAGCCACTCGAGGGAATTTTCATGACTTTTCGCTTAACAGGAGTGACCTCCTAATAAAATCTCAGTGTTTGTTAGTGCTGAGAGCAAGTAAAGTTTTACCCTTGCATGTATTTAGTATATATGGTCATATTGTTTTCAGCATATGATATTGAAATATCTACTACTGATAAAAGAGATGGTGGTACCATGCATAATGCCTGGATGATTCTCGAGGGTACAAAACGTAAATCAAAAACATTGATGTTCGAGAACAGTCCACAGAATAAAATCCTGAGAAGGTAAGTTAAAAACAATTATTAGTTATTTATCAATTTGATTAAAACACAGATCCTATTTAGTTTTGTTTTTATAGTTCAAAATTTTGTTTTACTTGTCATTACTACACTAGGATCTGGAAGAGTTGTTATCATTGACGTGTTCTGAATGTTGTGAGGAATTAGTCAATGAAACGGTCTGTTATGGTGAGCTTTTGGGCGTGTTTTGCACAGAACTGTGGGTAATCCACTAGTAACATCAATGCTGATTGGTTAATCAAATGTCTGACATTATAGGGTCAAAGCGGCTCGCATGACCTCTGACGCGACCTATCACTACAACTGGTCAGATCTTCATGTAGTGTAGGCCATCGAAAGTATAAAAAAACGAAACGAAATATAGATCTGTATTTTAATCCGATTGGTTATTTATTAAATGCAATGAAATGATATGCAATGGATGTTTAATACACCAACTGGGAAAATGAAGACATACACACACCATAAAGTGTGCAATAAGTGGAAATTTGCCTGGGCAGCAAACCCCTGGGTCCATTCACTGGAGAGGCACATAGTCCATTTATCTGCCCTTTATAATTGTGCTATTTTTTTTATCGACCAATCAAAAATAATTGAGAGTGGGCAAAGGGAAGTAACTCAAATTTGATTGCAACTAAGATCGTTGTTGCAAACTTTGTCACTTCTTTGACATTAAATTTTTGCAACTTTTCTCATAATCGAGTGTACAAGCCATTGTGGTTCCCTATATAAAAAAGCTATTGTAGTGCTGCTACATTATATATTTAGTATGAGCTGTCTTTACTCTCTGTCTTCCCACTTATAAAAAACACTGCATGACTGGCCAGGTTAGTGTTGAGCCATTTGCCCTCTTCTGTATTAAATTCTGTAAGATCATCACTATTACACGGGAAACCACAGTTTACTTAAATGTATCAATTTTCTATTTGTATTTTAGGGGTAATACAGATCATATCAAGAAAGACTGTTTGAATCTAGGGAAATTAAAAACTTGTACATTAGGAGCTGTAGAAAGAGAAGATAGACCTATAGAAGATGCTTCAGGAAAGGCAGCCGAGTGGCATTGTCATGAAGTCATTGTTACAGATACCTCAACAGGCGATAGGTAACAATCTTTTTACCCATTTCTTTTACAGTGAATTTCATCATCAACATCCAATACTAAAATGTGCAGTGAAAAGCCCAAATTAATATGAAAAATAAAAATGGTTTGGATATTGTTGGTAAATTTCAGGACCTCTGCTAAGGAATAGATCTGTGCAACTGCACAGTTTACACACCTTTTAGACCAGCTCTGATTTTATGATTCTGCCCATAATATTCATTTTACTGAAAGAAAGTTTTCCATAAAATAAGGTTAGAAATGAAATGGCGTTTCACCTCCTACCTTTCTGCACCAACCAAGCGAAATTTGGATGAACCTCGATAATATTTGGTTAGACATTCATGCACTGTAGAATTTGTATCAACGAAGTGGGTAACAACTGCATTGCACTTCCATGGACTTAAGACTCTAATGTTTAGGGTTTGTTACACTTTTATCAACTGTTAATCAGCCTTGGTTACGATTCCGAGGTTTTGACTGTCAGAGATGGGTTATAATAAACTAGAGGTGAACTGCCAAAACATTCGGATTTTATTACTATCAAATCTTCATGTATTTCTACAGATATATTTTCCCGTGTAAAACATGGATACCTATCTGTACTAAGATCTCGATGAAAGAAGCCGAAGTATTGACGGTAAAGTCTGTAGAGGAGGGGCAGGTTGCTGTCGTTAGAAGTAAGTAGTTTAAACATATGTGAATTATGCTTGGCCCAATATTACCTCAAATGTTTAGTAGTCAATGTGCCAAGATTGGTATGCAGATTTTATTCGCATGACAATATTATGTGCGCTGCATAGTTGTCCGAATGTAGACTTGAAGTTTTAATGCCTAATAAAACTGTATTGGCAGTTAGTCAATTACAATGTTTTTAGACAAGACAAGTAAAGTTTTTATATGGCCTACAATTTCTGTGCACATTAATTTCTTTTGTGTGCTGGTTGCAAAGTTTGTGTGCATGTGCACAGCTTGAGCTGATAGTGGTCAGATTTGTGTCAACCAATTCAAATTAGCTGTTTTTAGAATTCAACCATTCTGTTCATTAAAATGCTTTGGGTATTTATGGGTCCATTTTGATTTAGAAGATCAAAACTAGTAAAAACTAGAAAGTAAAATGCAATAGATTGTAGCTCTGCTTTCAATGAATGGATTTAAATTATTGTTTCAATTATTTTACAGATTTAGCGCCAATAAAATATGAAGTTGTTGTCTACACTGGTGATGTCAAAGGATGTGGAACCAACGCTAATGTTTCAATAACTTTATTTGGTGCTAATGGAGATACAGGCACAAGACCTCTTAAACAGAGTTTCCGTGATCTCTTCGAAAGAAATCAAGTTGATAAATTCCAAATAGAGGCTCTTGATTTAGGTAGGTGTATTAGTGATAGAGAGAGAGAAATGGGGTTTAACGCCCACTCGTCACAAACTAGGTCATTTCAGGACTAACATATGGTTTTATTTTATTTCAATAATTCGCTTTGCGTGTATGAGTCTTTAGCAGTGGGAGGAAACTGAAGGACCCGGAGAAAACCTCATTTCATTTCATTGTATTCATAGTTGCTTTTTGAACAAATGCAGGCTCCTGACCATTGCCTCATTTTACGGACATTTGTTCTTCATACTTTACCTTAATCAAAACCATGACTTTCATTTTGATATCTTTAGGTACGGTACTTCAAAGAATTTAATCTTAAAAAAACAAAACTAAATAATGTTAATTTTTTGTGTAAAAACGATTGAAAAGGATTTATAAGATAGACATGCATTATGCAAGAACTAAATCTGCCTATTGCAGGTCTTTCCTTAGGTCTGAAATGTTATCTAAATTATTAATGGGACATTAATTAATTTACCAAGATCATAATTATCTCTTGATGCCATCGGATGCCTGCGATATTTAGTGGATTCAAATACATTTTGTGCTGGATGATGTTACCATAAAAATGGATAATCGAGACTTTGTTTATTATTGTACCAACGGTCTTAATGAATATGAAGGCTAGCCTATAATTGTATCACCGATTCCTTGACTCAAAGTGAAGTAATTTGACTGAAATTTTCAGCATATTCTCTTTTGATTATCTATTTTTTGACTGTTATAGCGAGAGCTGTCAGCTCTTTACTTAATCCCTGTTTCAGATGATGCTGAAAATTGTCATGTTCTTTGAAAAAAATAATAGCTTGCTTATACAAATTACATAAAATATGCTAAAAATTTACCAACTGTCGAAATCATGAAGTGGGAGCCTTGCCCTCTGTACTTTCATATTGAGAATACATACTTGTGTACATTGTATTTTTGAATTTTCTTGTTTACATTGAGTGATTGGACATATTTATACATCATTACAATTTATCTAAATTTACCTTTCATTATTTCAGGTGAATTATCGAAGATTAAAATAGAACATGATAATAGTGGTTTCCGTCCTGGTTGGTTCCTAGATCGTGTTGAAGTTAACAACATGGCCACAAATAAAACAACAACATTTAATTGTAATAAATGGTTTGATAAAGATAAGGGAGATGGTGAAATCTGTCGGGAACTATTTCCAGCCCAGGACTAACTTAATTCCTCCCTAGAACCAACTAAATTCCTACCAAGGACCAACACTTATGAGACCATCACTAAACCACTTTACATCGATGACAATTGCCTCTAAAATCGACAATTCCAAACAAGGACTAGCATATGTCTCACAAAGTATTTAAAAGATTTCCATACCAAGACGGGTCTAGCCAAGGAATATATCCTTTCCAATGAAGAATATACATTTTTCCACAAATGACATATCGGTAGTTTGCTTTCTGCCAAGCCTTAGCCTAATTTTTATCAGGGCCTTACTTCATTCTACCCAGTCGTTCAATATTTATATGTACATAACAAATATATTTAAGTGCTAGACATGTAAAGTGTACATTTCGATCATTCAATATCTTTTCGTTGTGGGATTTCTACATAAATTTTAATATTATGTTCTTTAAATTATGAAAAGTCTTCACTGATTCCCAAATTGCCTTCAGGTATCATCTTGGCTCAAACCATCTTTATTCTTTTTCTGTTATATTCTCATGGATATGTGTATTTTAGAATGTTTTATTGTAAATACCTGGTATATATTTATAATCATTTCATTTCTACACAAAAGATCACAATGTGCCATTCCATATTAATGTTGTGTTGTATTATTTTGTTGTCTTACATTTTAATCCAAATTTGTACATATTTATTAATATATTAAATGTAGTTATGATATTTCAGGTCATTAATACATGAATTACAATTTGAAAATAATTAGAGTTATATTGTAGAAATTTTAAGTTTTAACTGGGATAATGGTACTTGATTATTTTTTGACTTTTGTATAGGTTGCAATAATGATTTTAATTAAATATTTATTTCCACTTGTTCAACATTTTAAAACAATTTATCCCTACTATTTTTTATTATACTAAAATAGAATCATGTATTGCTTCTATATTACTATTATATATGAATATTTTCTAATTATATGTAACCATGTCTGAACTTCACAATATAGTAAAGCCTTACCAATTTAATTTTCTGTTTTTCGCAACATGAACACCTGTAAAATTATTCCAGGGTATTTCTTTGGGAAAAAAATTTATTTAAAATAAAAAAAGAAATTGGTTGCATGATCCAAAACTTTTAGTTCCAAATTTTTAAGTTTTGAGATTTTAAACAAAGTATCTTTCACTTAATTCATGTGGCTATTTATTTATCAAGCCTCTGAAAAACAGAAAATTAAATTGGTGGAGCCTATTTATTATATAGAGCCTTATTAATATTTATAGGATCTGTCATTTACTGATACCCTTGTTATGTTAAGTCAATGTAGGCTCCATTAATTATTGTTAATATAAAACTTGTGATAATTTTATTTATAACAGTTATTTTAAACATTTCTATCCAGGGTTGTGATACCAATAATCAAAATGTGAATAAACTAATATTTATATGTAGTACATAGATTTCATCTTTTTGAAGATTTAAATTTTATATATAAGAATTTATTTTCTAAATGTTATATGCTTTTTATCTTGATACGAGAAAGATTTATCTTTCGATAAGCTCTTAGTCATTTTGGGTTACCTGGTTTTATCATTCATTTAGGGGATACTCAATTGAACATTCCAGAATTAAATTTTCTCAATTCCAAAAATAATGACAATCGAGTGAAATGGGTTATTTTGGGCTACAGTGCATGCACCGACTGAATAAGATAATATCTCAACCAACCTTGCAGCATCACATATTCGTTCTTTAATTACATCAAGATTCCACTCAAATCACCTCCATTTTTGGAACTTGCAGAACTTTGAAATTCACATTGATTGCAATTCTATCAATTCTGGATGTTATGGACTGACATTCGAGCATGCCCAAAGTGTCTGTTATGGGGAGGTAAATCTGGGTAACATTTGATGGCTTGATTTCAGATCTGATATAACACACCATTACTAATAAAATATTTTTATGATATATATTTTAAAAAATTGTCATTTTAGTCATTATAGAATTTTATTTATTTTTTCTTCTAGGCCTTAGATTTCGCTTCCTTAGAATTGCTCAATCTCACGTATGCCTCATTCTCTATGATCTCCTCTGCATTAAGCCATAATAAGTTTTATATATTCATTACTGTAACTTTAGATATGCTAAAACTGATAGCTATTTCGACCATGTAGTTATAAATATTGAGCTCAACTGTATATAACTGCTGTGTCATCTAAAATATTTATTAGTATATTTTATATTATATCAAGTAACAAGAATAAATTAAAGTTATTATTAATGCTATTTTTAAACATTCGCATATTTTTGTATTTATTTTCGAAGATTATTAATAATTATAAACAAATTGCATTTCGTCTAACGTTTTTTTTTTCTGTATTGGGGAATATTTGTTTTGATATTTTAAGTGGGTATTTAATTAAAATTCCACGAATAGTAACAATCAAGTAAACACAAGAATAAGAAAATATCTCTCTCAAACCATCTCTTTATTAAGAAATATGTATATCAATAGATTTATGAACTGCTGTTGACTAAATCAGTATAATATAAAGCCTTTTATTTAGATATTAGAACATTATAATATATAGATTTATTTATAGATTTATTAGTTTATGATATATATTATCTATTGTATATCCAATAAGTAAACTGCTAATAGATGACCAAATATAGAAATATTTTTAAGTGTACATCTTACAGTTCTGTTTGTGGTTCAAATGATATCAACAATAAAGAAAACATAACTGTGTAATTATTAATTGATGGATATCCCTATTCACTGACCAATTCAAAGGGGTTTTCTTTTGAACATTCCACATAGGCCAATTTCATATTTACAAATTGTTGACATTGTGATATACTCTATGGCATTCCAGGTACAAATAAACCACTCTTGACTCTAAAAATACACATTATTTTCAAACTTTCGCCTGGATAACCTAGTGCAATGTCAACAATCTGTTTATTAATAGCCCAAGGTTACAATCACAAAGTGGAGATATCCTTCTATGAAATTTAATTATTCTCACGAACCCCTTGTAAGAAATCAGTGATTGATAATTTTTTTTTTATAACTGTCTAAAGATGTCTAGAATAGAACCATGGACATCTTGATTATAATGTTCATGATAGAACTATGTCATAACCTCTTCAGACTTCTACAAAGAAACTGAGGTGTTCTTTCATTACCTGATCTGATCACTTGCTGTAGATTGTATAATAAACAAACATCCTGCCTTTTTTTCTAGATTATTTATTTATATTCAGATATCTAGTGTATTGGTTATCTTGTTATTTATATTAATTTTATTAAATAAATATTTATTAGACAATAAAAATGGGTAGTTGTTTTGATTCTAGAGGGAGAGAGAGAGAAGCAGTGAACATTGATACATGTACATACTAGAAATAATGTGTGTCTGAAAGAATGTCGGGCACGGCCGAACAAGTGTCTGACACGAACAAGTGCCTGACATTTATAATGAGGCATGTATTAAAAATATCAATAAAAAAAGCTGAAAAAACACAGATGTGTGCTGAACAAAATGAATGACATGGTAAATGATAACCAATAAACATTGAGACTTGTACTTGCTGCAATTCCAGGCCTGGAATTAATGATTTTGGTTGTGCCTTTCAGGGGCGGATTGGGGCCCCCGTGTCGGACTGGCCCCTTAGACTGACCGCGGAGCCCGGACGGGAGGTCCGGGGCCTCTCCCACTGGAAAATTTTGAAAAATGAACCCCAAATATGCGATTTAGTGGCATATCTGATTATAATCTGTCAAATAATATATCTCATAAATCGATTAATTTAGGCCAAATTCCCGACCTGCAAGTAATTTATAACCATCAACCTATGAAATTATCGTATCGTCATATTATTAATTAACGTATTAAGTAGTATCGTCAAGAGTCAAGAGAATTTAACTGGTTAAAAAATGGGACTAGTTGAGAAAATTTTGACCATTTGATTAACCATTTAGGAATATTGAATAAGTAGGAATATATACAACATGATCATCATCGCTCCATGGCTGGTCCAATAACAAGGGTTTTTAGACGAATTGGACAAAATTAATTTTTTCATTTTTTGACCGACCGGCCCTTCGGGAGATCGCCCGATCGCCCAATCCGCCCCTGGTGCCTTTCATCACTGTTCACATATTTCACCGAACATATAATGTAATATAAATTACAATAAATTTTATAAAAATTGAATATAAATCATGTTCTAATATACATTCATATTACATTAATCAGGCCTATTTTAAGGTCATACGTCTTTTAATCCTACATGAAGAAGCAAAAAAAAAAAAAAAAAAATTAGTCCACTATGACACTTTCTAAGAAAACTTAACTTTTGGGATGGATTTCTGGGGTGTTTAAAAAGATAATTGTTTTCTGAAAGGATATAAAAATAAAAATACCAGTAGGCCTAAACAAAGGGTGAAATAACTTCGCCAAATAAATTTAATAACCCTATTTCAACTTTATATTCATCCTGCTGTGTCATGGTAAATATTATATAATCTTACGAATTTATTATCCTTTTAATAAACCAACCATTAAATCCCCTGTATGAATTATTTATCATATGACCTACCTCCTGTGATTTATGACCCTACCTTTGTGCAATTTGACACATTTCAAATTCATCTCCTGAAGTAATATAATTTGTAAAAATTATAATTTCTATTTTATTTGAAAGATGGCTGTGGAATTTTTGATATTAATCCACAACTATTTATAGGAATAAACATATTTATACAGATATTGGCTAAAACAGTTAAAATTAAGTTACGCTTTCAATTCCGAATCACATGATAATCGAGACTACAAGTAGTCTGGATAACGGGATTCACATAGCGCGAAATATTTAACCAATCAACGTAAGGGGTGAAAGTTGAAGGACGTGGCACCGGTAATCAGTTCAGCCCCGTTTGTTGTTGAGAGAAGTCTATTGTGCGTGAAACCTTATCTTCTAAAATGGGAAAAATAAAAGGTAAACTTATGCACACTTAAATTTGAAAGTTGCGTGTATGTTGAATGAATACTTGAACCCAACCATGTAATGTTTTTGTCATTAATTTCAGGTGGTGCCGTTGTTGAAATGCAAGGAGATGAGATGACAAGGTAAAATTTTATGTATTTTATTTTTGACGATCATTGAATGAAACGTCACATAGGGCCAACTGTCATTATAGTGAAAGGTTTTCGGTCGATTATAGTAATTCTTGTCACGTCACGTACATCTGTTGGGTATACACGTAGATCATGTATTATTTCAGTACCAGTATATTTGAGTTTCTGTATGGTACAAAGTCCGTTCAATTTTAGAATTAATAAATTAAAAAAAAATAATTATAGGCTGCTTGAGCGCGATTTTATGCAAACATATTATTAGGCGTACATCTAGGCGTAAAAGTTAATGAATGAAAAAACTGACAGATTAGTCGTTGACCTGTTGGTTTATGTGTTTTTTTAGACCAAGAATTGAAAAATTAGAGATTTAAGTACAGATAATGTGAATGGGGAAGGGTGGGGGTGGGGCAGTCTGGTTATTATAACTAACCCTCCAATATTTCTGTTACATACCCAGTATTAAAAATAAATCTTTATTTAACCAACCCAATAAATTTTTGGGAAACCCCTCGTATCTCTGAATCTGATTTACATTTTTACATAATGGAAATTCTTAATTTTATTATTTGATTTAGGCAAAAAATACTTCGGTCACGTTTAAAGTAGGCTATCATACTATTTATGACAATAAAATATAAGCTGACATCATTGTTTACTATGAATGATGTGCACATGTTGATAGTGTGATTAGGTGTTGGTAAAGTGCATGTATAGTATAAATGATTATAAAAGTGAGTATCACTACTAGGGTAAAATAATGCAATCACAAGATAATTTAAGTGGACTTCAAAAGTCAGTAGACCATATCAGCATGTCTGATGGTTGGGGTCAAGAGTACAAATATATATCAATATGTCCATAGACCATGAAAGGGTCAAAATTCATTTGTTGTCTTGATAAGTTAATACTAATATGTAGAGGGACTAAAGATAGTAGACTCAGATGGCCATATTCTTTATAATAAAAAGATAGAAAAGTTAGTATTAGTACTACATGTACATCTTGGCAAGTTAGCTACCCCCTCCCATCCCCCACCCTCCTCTTTATTTTTTGACACAATTTTATTGAAATAATATTCCTGTAAAAATTTATAGACAATATTTGGGGAAATTAGGAAGCCCTATCTACCTATGTTATCTGGTTACCCTTTTTTGAACGATCTGCGTGTTATGTCCTTAAAGATTGATATACAAGAATCTGGTTTTTCGTCCTATCTGAAGGCCTAGACACAATTCCATGCACCACAGATCCTGACAACTTTCTCGGTCAAAATAAATAAGAACCTGAGACTCTCTGGTTAGCAAGCCTGCATCTTACTCACTGGATGTACATTGTATATTGTTGTCGCCCCTGTCTGGACATCCGTCCGTCCACAATTTTGATCCGATTTTGACGAAACTTTAAATATAGATTGATCTTCCAAAGATCTCGGTTTCTTTCAGTTTTGGTATGTATCGGACAAACCTTAAGGATTATGGCCCCTGATTGTACATAAAAATCACGTTTTCAGCTTGTGGACACTCTAGAGATCACAATTTATGTTTATATCTGAAAGATGTAGATTCCTTTAGATATTTGCGCATATTGTACAGTAACTTCCTGGATTATGGCCCCCGATTGTACAAAAAATTGTGTTCTTAGCTTGTAAACCCTCTAGAGGTCACAGATCCGATTTGAAAAAAAAACCAGTTTAAATATATGATATCACTGTTACACCATAATGACGGTTGAGTTCCAATGTGGGCACATTTTGCATGGTAATAGCTTGTTTGATTGTACTTTAGAGCAATCTTTGTTGAAGCGGAGTTTGTAAAAAAAAAATTAATAATAGTAGTTTATATATTCAATTTCTAAATGTTTATCAAAGACATTTTTACATGTGTAATAAAGATTATATGTATGACATTAAGTTGGGTAGAATACAATATGTGCTGGGTACCTTATCCCCTTACTATAAGTTGCTATATAATGTATAGGGTTATTATTTGCACTGTCATATTGTAGTTTAAATTGATAGCAAAATTAGATTGGACTTTGAACTTTCTGTTTATGTACAGGGTCAATGTTCATTTAATCAAGGTTGTACTAAATTCACAATGTGTTTTATTATGTCCAAGATAAACCCTTACTTAAATTATGACAATCTGTCATAATGATCCCATGAAACATACAAACCATGATTGATGACCACAAATAAACTGGAAATGCATGCATATTGAAACAACTTTTGACAAATTATTATTTGCATCTCTTCTACAGTGTATGTTTAACACAAGTCTGATAGAAACCAAGTTGATTGACTGAATTTTGATACTTTTTTAAAACTGCTGATTTTGAATGCCTTGCAAACTACCATTTGTGAATGTTGAATCAGTCAAATAATGGTTCTTCTCAGTTTAGTATAAAAAGATATCAATTGGTATCCCATTTTATTCAAACGGTATTGTATGTACAACCCATCAATTCGAGCTTACAACATTATATCTGAGCAGACTTTTGAATTTTGATGTCAGACTGTTGAATTTTAAATTTTAACTCTCATGGTATATTAAGGCAAATTAAAAATTATTTTATTCACTGAAGGTGGAGAAGGCCACAGTGCTATTGCTTCATTAAAATTTTCAAACTTAACCCGTTAAGTGTAATTAATTTGACGAAGAACTATGTACTATGTTCTAATAATAGGTTGGGGAAAATACCTCCAAGGCGTTATATTACGCCCACACACAGTGAGTGGCAGTTGTATAACGTCCTACACATGCTGCGATTGTGGGGGAATTCCCAAGGGATTCCCCCAAGTGACGAACTATGTTCTAAGAATAGGTTGGGGAAAATACCTCCAAGGTGTTATATTACGCCCTACACACATTGAGCGGCAGTTGTCCAGCATGATATATAATGACCTACGCACTTAACGGGTTAATTGAAAGTAGTGAATGTAAAATATATCCCTTGGCAGTTGGAATTTAAAGAAAAGTAGGTAGAAATGCTTGTGTTCAAAGATAAAACATAGAAAACATTTGAAGCAGTGCCATGCATGTATAGTACCAAGATATTTTAAAGATGGTGTACTTTGTCTCTTGAGAATAAATTCCATTGAACCACTGTATAATTGTTCATTATTATTGACAGAATCATCTGGGATTTGATCAAGGAAAAGTTAATTAATCCGTTTGTGGATTTAGAGATACATTCATATGATCTTGGTATAGAACACAGAGATGCTACTGATGATCAAGGTAGGTCATTCACAATTACCTATTTATGACCTGTACGTTAATTTTATTCTTTAAGGACTTACGTTACTTTATCTGTTTGTTTATTTTTAAGTATTTGATTTCAGTCAGTTAATAGTTTTTATTTAATAGCAAACAAAAACAGACCCAATTCTGTTCAAATAACAAATGATAAAAAAAACTATGTTTGATGAGGCCTAAAAAAACTATTCGAATAACAAATACTAACAAATCTGTTTGAATAGATATGGGACACTATTAGAATAGAAAATACATTCACTAAAAAATCTGTTTGAATAATATCAAATACTGAACAGTCTGTTTGATTAGCATAGAAAAACTATTGGAGTTTATATATTGTTCAGGATCACGGTGGCTAAGTGGGTAAGACACTGGCTCGCTAGCCTGGAGGTTGAGTGTTCGATCCCTGTGTTGGCCGAGAACGTTTGTTCAGATTTTCCGGCGTGGTTCTCCCTTGTCAGTGGTGCAGGACGGAGGGCCTGAAAAGTACAGCTGTCTAGTTGTTCGAATGGGATGAAAAACTGAGGTCCCGTGTACAAATTGGTGTGCACATAAAAGATACTTTGACACTTGGAATTCGATATAAGAGTAGGCCGTAGTGATGCTGTCCGGGCAAAATTTCCCTCATAGCACACTGTATGGCGTATGCCTGTCTTCATTGGCCCAGTTTGTAGCAGAATAGTAGGATGTTAAACCCCATTTCATTTCATTTATATATTGTTCTCTAGGGTCTTTATTCTATGCAATTTTGTTTATAAATTTTGTGTCATTCGGATGGGACGAAAAACCGAGGTCTCGTGTACACATTGGTGTGCACGTAAAAGATCCCTTGACAGTAGTGCCGCTGTCCGGGCAAAATTTCCCTCATAGCGCACTGTATGGCGTATGCTCGTCTTCATTAGCCCAGCTCGGAGCAGAACAGTAAGACATTAAACCCCATTTCATTTTATAAATAATGTAATAATTAATTTTCCAGTTACAATTGATGCAGCCAATGCTATTCGCAAGTATAATGTTGGTATTAAATGTGCTACTATAACTCCTGATGAGAAAAGAGTAGAAGGTAGGTTTCTTGTCTTAACTCTTAATGTTTTACTCGCACGCCCTCAATAGTTCGTGACTGAATGGTTAACACGTGTGTGCTGTATCATAAGGTCTGTCCTTGAGTCAACTGGCGTGGTTTCGATTCCCCAATTGTATGTGACAAGGAGTAAGGTCGTCTGTCAACTCTCGTGGGTTTTCTCTGGATCTGCCGGTTACCTCCCACTACTAAAGAGTAAAGATCCCTATGCGCAAGTGAATTATTGAAATAAAATTGAACCATATGTTAGTTCTGAAATGACCTAGTTTGTTTTCGAGTGGACGTTGAGCTCCATTTCTCTCTCTCAATAATTTGTGTTCGTGTGCTTAGATGTCCTGGGTTCAACAAGGACCTTGAAGAGCCTTCCCTGATGTTTGAATGCATTTAATTAGGAAAAAAAGCAAGATCACCCGTACAAATTAATAGGGGGCATAATAAGAGGCAACTAATTCAGTTGGCTGTTAGAAGATAAAGGAAAGTAGGCAGAAATACTGCTAAGATTAAATTCTCTTGCATTGCACATGGAGTCATTGCAAATAAATAATTTAATATGTTAGTCTCAAAATGATGGAAATGTTTGATATACTGTTTGACTGGCATTTAGTAATTGAACACATTAAAATAAACACAGTAATTGTTATCAATAGAACTGTTGTGTTTATTTTGATGGAAATGTTGTTTTAGGCTAATTTTAAAAGTCATTGTTTTCTTGCATTGGACTTGTATTATACAAGTAGTATAATATATTTTTCTGGAAGTTGGGTTCGTTGATGATGGAAAAAAGAATTTCTGTTTAAATTAATACTGATTGACAAATTCCAAATACTTATCTAAATGTTACACTTGTAGCATAGATATGCTTAGGCATTATATAGTTTTACCTGTTTCATTTGATTTATATTTCAGAATTTAAACTTAAAAAGATGTGGAAATCACCAAATGGAACAATTCGAAATATTTTAGGGGGAACCGTATTCCGTGAAGCCATTATATGTAAGAATATTCCACGTCTTGTACCAGGTTGGACTAAGAGTATTGTTATTGGGCGTCATGCTTTTGGGGATCAGGTAATAAGTTTATTAAAGCTGTAAACTGTCAAAATTTATCATTCCTGAATTTATTTTCGATTAGTCGTAGCTAGTTTATAAATGAAATGAAATGGGGTTTAGTGTCCTACTATTCTGCCATACAGTATGCTATGAGGAAAATTTTGCCCGGACAGCGGAACTACGGCCTACTCTTATATCGAATTCCAACTGTCAAGAGATCTTTTACGTGAACGCCAAAGTTTACACGGGACCTCGATTTTTCGTCCCATCTGAATGACTAGACAGCTGTCCTTGTCAGGCCCTCCGTCCTGCATCGCTGACAAGGGGAACCACGCCGGAAAATCTGGATGAACTTTCTTGGCCAATACAGGGATCAAACACTCGACCTCCAGGCTAGCGAGCAGGTGTCTTACCCACTAGTTTATATATTTACCTAGTTATGCATCCCGTTTTCCAGAGCATGTTTCATAACCTGTTAATGATATCTTTATGAAACTTTGTACACATTACAACCTATTATCTATATAGTAGTTAATAAGAAATTTTGCAGATTTGATAATTTTTGTGTTTCCATTGAATCAAATTTTACTTAAGGTAGTTTTGGGTGAATGGGACTTCTTGTTTAAAGTTCTGTTCAATCTTATTCAGAAATGACTTGACGCAATGATGTTTAGGCAAATATCATTATATGATAAACAATTGGTTGAAATTATTTTGTCTTCTACAGTATAAAGCAACAGACTTTGTGGTTGGTGGAGCTGGTAAATTAGAGATGACCTTCACCCCTGCTAATGGTGGGGAGAAACAACAATACACAGTTTTTGACTTCAAGGAATCTGGTGGTGTTGCTATGGGAATGTACAATACTGATGCTGTAAGTTTTGAAATGGTTTTTGTCATATTACTCACCAAATCATATGCACTTTCAGTTCTTTCATGTCATTCAGTGTTTCATTTATGAGAAGCCTCCGTAACGTACTGCTGCATTCTCTAATTCTATCTTTTTGATCATCATGCAATGGAATTATTCCATATTCCAGTCACATGTTTTATCAGGTGGACTGTTGTACGTTTATGTCGGATTGCACATGCGCAGAAATAGTATTCTTAAAAAAATGCATCGAAACACCTAAACTCTCAAATAATGTGCGCATAAGGATTTAAAAAAATAACGTAGACCGGTAAGGATTTTGCACTGTTTATTATTTCGTTTTACAGCCTCTATGAGAGTCGTGTATGTCTAAATAGTCACGCACACGCAACTAAAATAAGCATACGAAGTGTCAAGCAAATAAATGATTTAATTGTTCAAAACTCCAATGATATTTTAGAGTTATTTACCAAGTCTTTTTGAACAGATATCAGTGATTCCAGTATCGACAAAATGGCTGAGCATCAGTCGATATCGATTTCTTCCGATAGGCCACTTATCGGCCAGTTAATGATGTTGAAACCGATTATCGGACCATCACTAAATGAAAATGTATTATTTGAAAATTTATTATTCTGCTTGCAAACTTCAAAATTCAATAGTTTGTTCCTAATTCATGTAATCTTAGATTATTTAATGTATTTTTCAGAGTATCACCGATTTTGCTCACAGTTCAATGAAGTTTGCTTTACAAAAGGAATGGCCTCTTTATTTAAGGTAAAACTGAAATTTTTGAAACTATGTAATATTTCATAAAAGGGAAGCAACTCTGTTACATGTCCTCAACTTCATATTATCTCCCCTTAGACCACAAACAATGTCTTTTTGTGTACTAGATTTCTCTCAGATTTTGAAACTTGAATGTACTTATTTATATTTTGTATAAATGTTTTATTACTTTATTTCAGTACAAAAAACACAATTTTAAAGAAATATGACGGTCGATTTAAAGATATCTTCCAGGAGATTTATGATAAGTAAGTTGTTGATTTTGATTTTAAAGATAATGATTCAAATTGGATAAAATTGTAGGTCATTTTAAGTTTAAATTAGAGCTGTTTCTATTTATACCATTAAAGATCCCCTGACAGTTGCAGCAGCGCTCTCTTGGCAAAATTTCAAAGCCTACTGCCTGTCTATATTAGCCCGCTTGATACAGAATAGTAATTTGTTAAATTCCATTTCATTTCTATATGCTCAAATTTTAAAGCACCATTGAATGATATAGTATTTTGTTTGTAGTCAATATAAGAAAGAGTATGAAGCTAAGGGTATATGGTATGAACATCGATTAATAGATGATATGGTAGCTTATGCTATGAAATCTGAAGGTGGATTTGTTTGGGCATGTAAAAACTATGATGGTGATGTACAGTCTGATTCTGTAGCTCAAGGTAGGTGTACTTACAGGTGTTTTGGTATCAAAAGCAAGTCCTGGGAGATAACCATATAGTTTGTAAATTTACTGTTCCTCTTAACGGTACTGTTCCTCTAAATGTTTAATTTGTAGGTTTTTCTTTAAAATTTACTTCACCATTTAGGACGCTATAGATAATTTATAATCAGATTCAACAAAATTTTAAATTAAGTATAGGAAGAGTTTCATTATTTTTTTTTAAACTACAGGATTTGGATCACTGGGTATGATGACAAGTGTTTTGATTTGTCCTGATGGTCAAACTGTAGAGGCTGAAGCTGCTCATGGTACCGTTACTAGACATTATAGATTCCATCAACAAGGAAAAGAAACATCTACAAACCCTATTGGTAGGTTGTATTATTTAAGGCTAATATAATATATACTGGAAACCGTGCCAGTTGACTCAATGACAGACGTTATGATACAACGTGCATGTGCTAACCTGTGTCTTTAGAACAAGCTAATAAAATTTAAGTAAAAGAGCAACTCTTGGTGATGGATGACAAACAAATACCTTTTCCTCAATTTATACAGTATATCATATTTGAAATAATCTCAGTCATATTGTTCAAAATCCAAATATTGTCAGACTTAGAATACTTATGGAAGAATGATTGTTAATTTAAGTTTAGGCTGTGTTGAAGAGTTGTTATATCACCATTATCAAGCCATGTATAGATTAGTAATATTGTTCTTGCATAAGTAATTTTAAAGTTTTTTGCTATATTCAGTTACTAAATACCTCGAAAAGATTTGATTAAACTGCTTACAGATGACTATGAAGTAAACGAGTTAGAAATCAGATCTTAAAACATCTGTATCTTGGTGCTCAATTGACAGATTTGACCCAAGTATGGCATACAATCTAATTTGAACTCGTGAGATTGAATTGTGTTGTCAGACTAAAATAATAAATGAATAAACATGTGTTTGTGTATTTTTCAGCATCTATATTTGCATGGACAAGAGGTTTAGCTCATCGTGCTAAATTAGATAGCAACAGTGAATTAGATAGATTTGCTACTAATTTAGAACAAGTTTGTGTTGAGACAATTGAAAATGGAAGTATGACCAAAGATTTAGCTATATGTATAAAAGGAATGAGCAAGTAAGTTTACAAATGTTTGTTGTAAGCAAAACAAATTTTTAATACTTTTTGGCATGGAAAACAGTGTCTTGTTTTGTAGTGATTGTAGATATAATGATCCTACAGATAGGAATTACATTGCCTGTTTAAGAAATTTTTGTTTTTAGAAGGTTTCAAGTATTGGGCAAATCCTATATGTTAGCATAAATGTAAAAATTATCATACATTTTTCTCAGATGCTTTTATTTTAACATTTAGGCCTTACAATAAACAATAATTATATAATTTAAATTTTTCTCTTCTTTTCAGTGTAAAAAGAGCAGATTATTTGAATACGTTTGAATTTTTGGACAAATTAGCTGAAAATTTGACCAAGAAAATGTCCAGTTGACTTTCACAATCATCTAGTAAATTATAATATTTTGTTTATTTGTTAGTGTATTTAGGAGATAGTACACAGAATTTATCATATACATTTTTTACCATACACATACATGGATTAATTAGTTATATCTAAGGCCATATCAAAAAAATATTCCGATTCTCAGATAATCCAGCATCACTTGATAAGAGCTGCATTACCTGTTTTTATTTCAAAAAATAAAAACAGTCCCATTAATTACCACATGTAAATAATTTACCCCAGATACAGGAAGTAACTTTATAAATCTTTTTAATTAATCCACAGTCTCTGATCAATGTTAATGACAACTATAAATGATACTAGATAATCATACAATCCTATAAACGGATAAATGTATTGCCTTGAAATGTGATTTAGCCAAATAATGATCCTTTGACAAAATAAAAACCTGCCTTCTGCATCAGATATTTGGTAAGGATTGTCTGAGAACCAGAATATATTTTTTGTATGGCCTAAGGTTGTGGTAAATGATGGTGGAGCTGATTGCAGTCCTATAAATATCAAAGCTGTAATTTTTAGCATCTAGTCAAGACACAGATTGAAAATAAACACCTGATTTTGGAAGTGTATTACCTTATTTAAAAATTTGAGAATTCAGAATCACTCAAGTATGACTAGTTAAAGTAGGAATATTGTAGGCCTATACATGTACAGCTTTTAGTCTTTATGTTAAGGCCATATATAAAAAATATTCTGTTTCTCAGATAATCCTGCATCACCCGTTTTATTTCAAAAAATAATAACTGTCTCATTAATTAGTGCATGTAAATGTTTTACCCTGTCACAGGAAGTAGCTCTAAAATGATTCCGGAAATGTACATAGGTTCATTTATCAAGTACACAACTCTGATAAATGATACTGACAATCATAATTGATACTGGATAATCATACATTTCTAATAAACTAGATAATGAGATAAATGTAGTGCCTTGACTTTAAATGCAATGTTTATGAGATGTCACATAACCCAGTAGTGATCCTTTGACAAAATAAAAACACAAAAAAAAATCCCCTACCCTTCCGCATCAGATTTTTTAGTAAGGATCGTCTGAGAGCCAGAATATTTTTTTTGTATGGCCTTATTAAAATATTTTTAAAGTTTTTATAGATATTAGTTTTGGAAAATATGAATATTGCTGTATCAAATAATCAAACTACCACAGCTTATATTGATTTATTAAATTTGCACATATTGGTAATAAATTTTCTTTGTTGGAAAGCGTTGAGTTTGATAGATTAAATTCTGTCATCAATAGCTTTCTTAGGGACTGTCACAAAATTTCACCACTTGTATCCAAACGAATAATCCGTATAACATGGTGAGTGGATAAAAAATGACAGATTAAATGTCGGTTATTTTGTATTAAACACACATCAAAATCCATTTGTATCAACATTTTCTTATTCTGTTGGTGCAGGTGGGTGTACGGGGCTAGATCTATCCACGGTTTTTCGGTTATTCGTTTGAATGCAATCAGCAAGTGTTGAAGTTTTGAGATGGTCCCTTATTATCTGTAGTGTTACATTATGTCCTAAAGTCACTTCTAAAAGCTTATAGTGTTCCAGCATCAACATTTGGTAAAAAGATGAGTTTCATTTTTCTTTAAATTCAGCGAATGTTTTATGTCTTGGATGATCATTCTTGAGATCTCATTGAATTAAACTGCCCAATTATTAATTATTAATCAAACTGCCCAATTATTTTACATCATTTTAATTAATTAAATTATTAATTCTCATGAAATATCCATTTAAATCCACATTATTGTATGCCAAAGATTCATGCATAAACTTTTTCACGAATTGTAAAATCTCTAATCAATTATAGTTTTTGTTCTTCAGGAATGCCTATTAAAATTTATCTTCCTATTTCATCTGGAAACAAAATATAAGTTTTTTAAAAAAAAAGTACTTGGTTGTTCTTCTCAAACCGTTTAGTTCAACATTTTGAAGTTTTGAAATTTTAAACAAAACATTGTTCACAAGCTAGACTTGAGATCTGGAAGATCCCAATAACATGGTGTATGTACTTAACAAATGCTAGCTTAAATTTAATGGACTAACTTTTGTACCAGTATTTTTTCTGTAATGTTCATGAGTAAGAGCTCCATTTAATATATATACTGTTAATGTATCTATCATTTATTTGTTGAAAAGTCTGGTCAAATGGACAATAAAACCACCTTTGTTTTAGCAAGCAAATAACCACATATAAATATTGCAGTGACATTTTTCCATTTCCATATTTATGCTCAATGATCCTTCCTACATCTAACTCTTGTGTATATGAGCTCCATTTAATTTATCTGCTGTCAATTGAAATGCTTCTGCCGTTTATTTGCATTGTACACTTATAGTGGTTTATCTTCATTCCTGTAAGTAATTAAACATGTTTTATAAGAGCAGGGTATGCTGTTTACACTGGTACTTTCTGAAACACTTGATACCACTTCCCGTTTATTTTGGGAGTCACATTGCTAAAAATGTTTTCTTTTACCTTTTAAAATTAAAGCTAGTCTTAATAATTTATCCTTGTTAATATATATTAGATTGGCTGGTTATATCACACTATTTTACACTAAGATTTATATAATTAGATTTACTTTCAAATCTTTCAATAAATATACAATATTATGAATATTACTGTATTTATTTACATGGTTTACCTAATACAAAAACATAAAAAAAAGTTGTCTTTTGTTTTAAATTACATGTACCTGTACAAGGATTCATCAAGATTTTCAGACGTGGTTTCCCCATGTCGGTGGTGCTGGGTGGAGGGCCTGACAAGGACAGCTGTCTAGTAGTTTGGATGGGACGAAAACCTGAGGCCCTGTGTATACATTGCCGTTCGCGTAAAAGATCCCATGATAGTTGTAATTCGATTTAAAAGTAGGCCATAGTGCCGTTGCCCGGGCAAAATTTCCCTCATAGCACACTGTATGGAGTAGCCCGTTTTCATTAGCCCAGTCAGAGCAGAACCCTATTTCATTTCACCTGCACAGGGGCTGATCCAGGATTTTTGGTAGGGGTGGGGTCCAGGAAATTTTGAAGTGCTGTATTGACAATTCTTGAGTTCAAAGAGGATCTGGGTGAAAATTTGAAAAAATGAACACTGTAGATGCCATTCGGACATTTAGCTGGAGCAAGGTGGGTGGGGTGGGCCTGACCTTGTTGTGAAGTAGTAGGACCTTTACACCGACAGTGTGGGGGGACAACATAAGATATTCTGCATTAGCACACTCTTAGCTACAGCCTAATCTTATATCGAATTCCAATTGCCAATGGAACTTTAACTGCATGCCAATGTCTACTTTGGACCTTGGTTTTTCGTACCATCCGAACAATGAACTTTCTTGGCCAATGCAAGGATCAAACAATGTCTTACTGAGCAATACTGGTGGAATGTGAGAGTAATGGGGTTTAATATCCACTCAACACAAACTAGGTCATTTTGGGACTAATATGGTTCAATTTTATTTCAATAATTCACTAGAGCATATGGCTCTTTAGCAATGGGAGGTAACTGGAGAAAACCCACGAGGTTTGACAGGTAACCCTACTAAATGACGTATACAAGCTGAGAATTGAAACCATGTCACTTGACTCAATGACAGACCTTATGATCTAAAGCACACTTGTTAGACCATCCAGTCACCCAACCCTCTCTACTTGTGGAATGAAATGAAATGGGGTTAAACGTCCTACTCCTAAACTGGGCTAATGAAGACGGGCCAAGGCCATACAGTGTGCTATGAGGGAAATTTTGCCCGGGCAGCGGCACTATGGCCTACTCTTATATCGAATTCCAACTGCCAAGGGATCTTTTACGTGCACGCCAATATATACACGGGACCTCGGTTTTTTGTCCCATCCGAATGACTAGACAGCTGTCCTTGTCAGGCCCTCCGTCCTGCATCACTGACAAGGGGGAACCACGACAGAAAATCTGGATGAACTTTCTCGGCCATTGCAGGGATCGAAGACCCGACCTCCAGGCTAGCGAGCCAGCGTCTTACCCACTTAGCCACGTGATCCCCACTTGTGGAATGAGATAAAGGCCAAGATAATATAAGTCCTTGTGCAAAATCTCTTTTATTTCACAATTTTGAATATTATGTTATATATACTGTATAAATGTGTTTAGAGAAGAATACAATATGTATTTCATTCATCTGTATATAACACAAACTAATATCTATATACAAGATATAATAATACACATATACACAACTAATTATACAAAAATAGCAATGTGACAACACTAGGGCAAGAAACACAAAAATATTCATGCTTAGTTAATTTTTGCAATGTCATTTAAACTTCCAATTAAAATTTGTGATTTGCATATCATATTTGTACAAACTCCATAAAAAATGAATAAGTGATAGGTAAAATCATAAATTTAGGGATTCTGTACAGTAAACTTATAATTTCAATAGGAAATCCCTTAGCTTCATTAGCCCAGTTGTTACAGAAAAGAAATCCCATTTCATTTAGCACATTTTTTGGACTGTTGGGTTGTATGTCAAAATTAAAAGATGGGAAACATAGTAAATTGCCACTGTAGAGAAAGATTTTTATGGTCCTTGGTTCTAGGCAAGGAACAGCCACAAAATTTCAACCCTTGCATCCCTAACCAGTAGATCAATCTCCACACACCGACCCACCTCCGTCCAAGGCGTAAGAAAATGTTGATATATTTACATTCATGATTAAAAAACCCCACAACATTTAATTATCATTTTCCCTCTGCAGTGTCAATCAACTCATCCACCCCATTTGTGTGGGTTATTCATTTGGGCATCAAGTGTTGAAATTTTGGGATGGTCCTGAAATATTTAAAGAAATAATATTTTATTTATAAAAACAACACAGTGTTCTTTTGACCAAACCAGAATCTGATTACGGCCTTTCTGATGCAGGTACAGAATTTTTTTTTACGAAAGGTCCATTTCCTATGTGGTTCTTGTTCTAATTATTAAAACAGGACAGACATTTCTTTGTTTTGGAAGTTGAAGTGAATGATTGAACCTAGGTTTAAACAAACCAATAGCTTTACCTCAAAAACATTGGGGAGGGCATTGGGCTATAATCCACCACTTCCTTTCTCCAATATATTATATTTGGGCTGGCAATACCGGACACAATCAATTATTGACCTAATCAACAAAAGTAATGCTGTTTTTACTCAAATTCCCAAATATGTTTAGCTCGTTTACTACAATTCAATATAAGATATTTTGTTGCCCCCCCCCCCCCTCTTTCAAACCACAGCTAGAAATTATATTATGTTAGGATAACCCGTTTTACTTCTAGTCTCTGCACGGATCAAACTCTAAATCAGAAATATTGGGTGGTGGTAATGAAATATATCATTTGTTTGTGGGCCTTAATGTAAGCTTAAACCAAGCTATATTACGGTAATCAAATCAACACTTTGTTGTCATGGGTGAAAATAGAAAGATAATAGCACACAAGTTGAAATATATCACAGAAAAGGTATTATTATATATTTACATACATAATTAAAATATATAACTATGTCATATCTAAACACAAGCTTAACAAATTACATGTCCAATTTCTTGTTGATGATTAAATTAGCAAAGTGACAAGTGGCCATATTGCTTTTTTGGATAAATTTTAAAATTTATTCCCCTATTTTCCTAGAAGCTTGAGAACAGGATAAAAAAATGTCCTGTACCATATCCAGGAATATATCCATGTACAAGTGCATCTAGGTTTTTTCCCAAACTAACCATCTGAAACCCTACCTTTTCTCTGACTAACCATCTGAAACCCTACTTTTGCCCTGACCAACCATCTGAAACCCTACTTTTGACCTGACCAGCTATCCGAAACCCTACTTCTCCTCAACCAGCCATCTGAAACCCTACTTTTTCGCTGACTTTTAACACTCTAAAAGCCTACTTTTACCCTGACTTTTAACACTCTAAAATCCTACTTTTGCCGTTCTAATCAACTGACATGTGTCCAGACTTCGAGAAATTGTACACACTGCCGTTTTCCTACTGTCATGTTTTAGACAACTTGATAGCCGGTGTTCTGCCACCATCTAAATATTAACATTCAAGCATGTACATATATCTCTCTACTGGTGCAATCTCTATTATACTAGATACTTAAGACAGGCAGTGTAGAACCCCTACTGTGTTTAGATTTCAGTTAACTGAAAGAATTTCATTTCCTATCATTTTATTAAAATATTATGAGTTGTTTTGTTATTTGCACGATTGGTCATTTATGAGGATACCATAAACAATATGACTAGACAACTGATTTCAACCAATCATATTTTGCTAGACAAATGATCGCAGCCAATCACATTTTACGAGACAATTCTTGGCAGCCAATCAAATTTTACTACACACATGACGGCAACCAATTACAATTTACTAGACAACTGATTGCAACCAATCACATTTTGCTAGAAAAATGACAGCAGCCACAAGACATTTCTAAAACTTTCTAAGAATTCCGAAATAAGATTGACAAATGTTCAAGTGGACATGCTACAAGGATAGTTTGTTGGACAAAATGTCTGTTGATTTGAAATATCTGATGATTATTGTTAATATGTGGGTAACATAAATAACTCCCTTCTTTGAGCTTCTAAATACAACTCTCATCAATACAGGATTACTTCAGCTGATAATTTATGTAATAAATAAAAGAGATTCAGGTTGGATGATCACATATTAACAATTCACAAACAAACTTCTGCTTCAGATTTAATACTGTTTGGGGCTATTTAATTATTGAGGTTTATACCACAGAAAAAGTACAATGGTGAAAAAATCACAAGATGACAATGCAAAATAGGAGAGGAATGGAATCACAAGGGGAGGAACCTAACCTATGTCTCTGAGAACCACTGTACTAATATATATAAAGCCATTTAAAACACAGATCCTATTTCACTTAATTTTTTCATAGCTCAAATTCGTGCCATGAAAGAATAAAATATAAAAAAACCAAACTAAACTATAGATTTGTATTTTAATAATGTTTAGAATAATGTTACTAAGGGACATGCTCAACTGTAGTTATATGGAAACCTATGTTATTAAAATCCATAATATAGCTGAAATAAATACAATAATATTATTGATCATGTAGAGATAACAGATATATGTTATAAGAAAATTTTAATAAAATCAACAGCCTCATAATATTACACAGATAATCAACAGAGGAAACGTAACATACATGTATGGCTGCTAAATAATACTCTCAATTTGAATATTAAAATACAGGTAGCCCAACGTGATGTTTATATTTTACCTTTGATGTCATTATTTATTCCATTTAAAGACACCAGAAGGTAAACCACCTAAATATAGGGTCAAGAAAATGTAGTTTAATGGCATGTCAGCCCAACTGTGCTATGTATTTTGTGTGCCAAACATATGGTGATCAATTCAAGACAGGCTAAATTATATCTCAAAAACATCTATACAAATTTTAATAGATGTTTTACGAATAAAAATTCAAATTGATGTGACAGCCGATCGTCAATTTCCTTTATCAAATACAAATTAAAATTGATAAAGTGGCTTTATCAGTATTAAACAAACAACTATAATTCTATCAATACAAAAATCTTTATTTATTTTTTATTTTGATATTCATGGAGCTTTTTTAATGTTTTATCTCCAAAACTAAAATAAAATGAAACTATTAAAACCGCTGATCATCATTGCCATTTTTAGGATATTTAATTTTTCACAGGTCAACCAACCCACACTGAAATGTATTCAGATTGATTATATAACATCTATCTAAGAAAACCAAACCAGATGGTAAATATTCTCCTAGCTTGGATTCAAATTAAAAAGAGGCCCATCAGAACATTTTTTACTTGGATTTTTTTTTCTGCTAAGGATGCCCAATGTTGAGAAATTTTCAGTCCATCATATCTTTGTAAATACTGAAAGGAATTGAAGCATTTTTGACTGATATTCCTTTTAGAGATTCATCTTTCACACTATGGGTATCGCTAGATTGTTTATATTGTCTGAAGAAGATGCCGAATATTGGGAAGTTTTCAATCCATCATATCTTTGTAAATACTGAAAGGAATTGAACCATTTTTGACTTTCTCAATATTATCCTTTGTAAGGGATTCAAATAATGATCAGCTTCTTTAATGGTTTAATACATAGATGTCTAGATTGCTATCTAAATAATATTGAAGAAAATACTAGAGAAATTTCTATATCGCTGTCTAAATAAATATCGAAATAAATATTACAGAGATTTCTAGATCACTATCTAACTAAAACATCAAAATAAATAAACAAAAACAAAACAAATCTAGTCATATTCTCCCGAATTCAAAACAGAACAAAAGAAATGTTAGTAAAAGCTTTGTGTGTGACAAATATATTTATTTAACGTCTGTGACATCACAGACAAAAGCCTTTTTTTCCATCGCTAATTTCAAATTAAACGCTAAATATACCACACTTTTAATAGTATACTTTTTTAAACTATTAACGGTTAAATATTTAAAAACAAACTGAAAGGAAATATGTTACAGATTGATCAGTATCGTGTAATTAACATTTACCAATAGTAAGCGTGAAAATTAAAAATCGCTCCTCCTGTACAAATTTATCTGGATTAGCAAATGCAATCCTTGCAAAACTGGGGTTATTCAATACTTATTTTGCAGCCCTTGTATATATTTATTCAATTTCTTATAATACCACAGATGTCATAATGAATGAATTATATTATGTGCTTAAGCATTGAATAACTGTAGTGCATATTGTCGAAATTGTAATTACATTTATTAACAATTGTAATTACATGTACTATCTATCTTAATTACATTTATTAACTATTGTAATTACATATCTTAACAATGGTAATTATATATATATCAACAATGGTAATTATATATATTAATGACAATTATATTATCAATTGTAATTATATATAGTAACAATTGTAATTGCATATATTAACAATTGTAATTATATATCACATATATTAACAACTGCAATTACATATAGTAACAATGGTTATTACATTTAGTAAGAAATATAATTACATGTATATCAGCAATTAATTATAAAAATCATCACTAAAGTATATAATTTGTGGGATATGATTATTTGGAAAGATGAACTGAAGCGGTTGTAGGTCACAAATAAAATCCAAATTACACTTAAATTTTTATATATTTATAAAACAATATGTGGCTTTAAAATATTAAGGGGATGAACTGTAAAAATATTCAGTTTCAAATTAGGACATACAGGTACATATACTCAATAGAAGTAATAATATACAAGTACAATGAATGCATATACTCTAATAAAATTTAAAAAAAAAAAGATGCTCATACAAACAAGTTGTTGAAATATTAGAATAAACATTCTATCAAATTCTTCTTGGTTAACTTTAAACTTATATATTTAATAAATGATTGTATATCCTCAAACACATTTTCACAGTACTGCTGAAATTAAGATATTCAAAAGGTCTCCAACTTACTAGTCGTCTTGACGAGTCAGCTGTGTAGTCTTGTATGTCATTGTTGAAAACTACTACACAAGCAGAGGTATGAGATGAATTTAAGTTGTACATATTGACATAATCTCCTAGGGGATGTTCGATTGTCAGTCCGGAATTTCGAGAATGGACAGAACTGTTATTGAGTGACACTGTCATTCTTGACAACGGAGGTGATGTGAGTAGAATCGTGACGTACCCGGTAATTAATCCTAATGAATATGTTTCAGCTGTCATGTTTGCTTGAGATATTTTCTTACGCAGTCAACACATGCATTGTAGTCGAATCCCCCCTTTCACTCGATTGTCACTATTTCTTTGATTAAGAGAATTCAATTACGGAACGTTCAATTAAGTATCCCCCGTCGTTCATACAACTTCATAGGTAATCTCGAGCTTGAGGTCACTCGAAATTATTTTTACTCCAATGATGATGCATTCACCTATTGTGAGTCCTGTAATTGATTTAAAACTGCCATCAGAACATGGAGTCGCACATTACATTATTGATATTATATACACTTGTCCAAATGTTTAACTCCAAGCCACGAGACATGTTCAAGGGAGAAAATAACTTGTTTAACATCTATTATGTAATAACACACATCAAGTTTTAAACCAGAGAGGTGTATTCTCTTAGGTATTCAGTACTATACACAAGAAAAGATGTATTCTGTTACAGTAGATACTCAGTCTGTTAAATCACAACAGGTATATTCTATCAAATATTCAGGATAACTCTGATGACTATCAAAAACAACCCAGATTTTGGGATCGAAAATATTATCCACACATGAATCATAACATCTGCCCATTTTGTCCGTTTCGGGATATAATGGTGGAGGTTTACGATACCCTTTTTGACCTCCTGTTGATTTGCCAACAAGAACTCGAGACAGGAACATTTTGAGCAGATATTCCGGTTCCTTGGCCTCTGTTGAACTCTCTGAAGCTGCTTCTATGGTAACATTTGGGACTGAGTTGCCACGAGTCGGCATGTGTGGATTGATCACAGGCGTATTAAGATCGTTAAATCCGAGAAGAGGGTTGTTGATAGGGTACGTGGAATGCTGCGGATTCAGATTGACAGGGATGTTTCTGTTGCTGAGCGAGTAGAGACTGTTGGGTGCTGAAGAAAACATGTTGAAGGCAGATGACGTGGAGGCTCCAAGGTATGTTGGGTTTGGAACAGGAACTGAGTTAACCACCGAAATAAAGGAACCTTGGCTATTGTTTGTAGAACCAAACAATAGTTGGTGAGCTGGTGGAGGAGGGTTAAAGTTAGGAGTGTAGGGAATACTAACAAGACTTTGATGAGCAGGCGGAGGATGAAATAGGTTTAATTTTTGTCGAATAGCCTGGAATTTCTTTCGATGATGTCTTACTTGTTTAAAATTGTGGAAATCTGTGTAGTCGTGGGAATAAATTGCATTCTTGGCAAAATATGAACCTGAAATGAGAAAGAATAAATGTGACATACGAGGACAAGGGAAATAACTCTCTGGAAGTAATTATAGGAAATAATTGGAAATCAATAGTCTTTGTCACACTAATGTAAACAATGTATTTCAAGGATATCAAAATATTACAGTGATCTATGAGCATTCACAAGGTAATTATGGATAGATGGCAATATAATGTAGGTTCATATTACAATGTACATGTATGCCTATAAAACAAGAGCTTCTCGTTAGATTTAATCCAATTACCTGATCAAACAAGTTGATGTCTATCTGACAATGCAATATCAGTTCATACAGAACAGAATTCTATTGAATATACTTAGTGTTTATTAACGATGTATCAGGTCCATTGACAAATGTGGGGTGGAAACAAGTGATAATGCAGGTAAAATGTGAAATGAGCAAATGAAAAACCACAAAAACCTCAAAATTTTACGGTCCCATCAAAATATTCTCCAACATTGGGATTTGTTATATATTTAAATTTGTAATAAAACCTGTTATAGAATTACCTTCTCCATAAAGAGAGCCATGTTTACCACATAATCTCCAATCAAAACCTTTCTTTGTGATGGCTTCCACACACTGACCCTGTGTTCCGTGAAATAACGTCTCTTCCTGAACATTCAGACCATCATTTTCATGTATCATTTCTATCCGCTTCCTGAAATATCAAACATATTAGGCTGTACAAAACAAATATTCTGGTTCTCAAGACAATCCTTCCTAAAAATGTAATTTTTTGTTTTCTACTCTTTTATTTTGTCAAAATGAAATGAAATAAAATGAAATGAAATGAAATGAAACGGGGTTTAACATCCTACTGTTCTGTTCTGAACTGAGCTAATGAAGACAGGCATATGCCATTCAGTGTGCTATAAGGGAAATTTTGCCCTGACAGCGGCACTACGGCCTACACTTATATCAAATTCCAACTGTCAAGGGATCTTTTGCGTGCACGCCAAGGTGTACATGGGACCTTGTTTTTTCGTCCCATCCTCCGTCCTGCATCACTGACAAGGAGGAACCACACAGGAAAATCTGGATGAACTTTCTTGGCCATTGCAGGGATCAAACACCAGACCTACAGGTTAGCGAGCCAGCGTCTTACCCACTTGGCCACCACGATCCCTATTTTGTCAAAGGATCACTACTGGGCTAAATGATGGTATATGAAAGACATAAAATATGACAAAAACAGTAGATCTACTCCCAACTACAGATAGGAGATTAATATAGGTTTTCATTTGTCCCGTTTAGTTTTTGGGTTTGTTTTATCCCTGCCGAACCATATTTAATGCTGTAAGTCAACTGATTTACTAATGTTTTAACACAGTTTTTAGCAGTGTTTAAGTTAACCGATTTACTACTGTTTTAATTAAGGCATTGTGTAAGTCAACAAAATTACCACCGCAAGTCAATTGATTACCACTGTAAGTCTATTGAATTAGCACTGTAAATCTATTGAATTACCACTGCAAATCAATTGAATTACCACTGTAAGTCTACTGAATTATCACTGCAAGTCAACAGAATTACCACTGCAAGTCAATTGAATTACCACTGCAAGTCAATTGAATTACCATTGCAAGTCTATTGAATTAGCACTGTAAATCTATTGAATTACCACTGTTAGTCAACAGAATTACCACTGCAAATCAACTGAATTACCACTGTAAGTCAACAGAATTACCACTGCAAGTCAATTGAATTACCACTGTAAGTCTATTGAATTACTACTGTAAGTCAACTGAATTACCACTGAAAGTCAGCTGATTTACACTGTGAAATTTAGAAATTGTTCAAGTCAACTGAATTACCACTGCAAGTTAGCTGTCGACTTATACACAATTAGAAGTGGGAGATGTAGACACATCGAAAAAAACCTTAATGATTTCATTGTTCAAAACAAATGGCAGGACTGAAATTTGTCAACATTGTTCAACACATTTAACACAACAATGCTTAATATATGCCTTTCACTGACATCACATATGGATTTGAAATGGAGAAAAAAAAAGAAAAATATTGAATATTTTTCACTTACAAGTTGTAATACTTCCACAACGTCAAATTCTGTACTCGTGAAATTCTATGTAAACAGAAGCGAACTCCATTCATAGTTTTATAGAATCGAATGGCAACAGTTATAAATTCAATAGAATCATTGTCCAAAACAACTATCTTCAATGTCTACAAAAAAAAAGATAAAAAGATAAAACATTACTTTGAAATTTATACAATCCTTTCTTTGTCAAGGATTAGTCAACTGATTTGTCAAAAGTTAGAATATAAGACAGAGGGAGAGAGAGAGAGAGAGAGAGAGAGAGAGAGAGAGAAATGGGGTTTAACTTCCACTCAACACTAGCATTGCTGCCCCCTTCCCCCGAAGTCACTTTGATGTCTGTGCTATCCATATAATGGATGAATATGAGATAGAGAGAGAGAGAGTGAGAGAGAGAGAGAAATAGGGTTTAACTTCCACTCAACACTAGCATTGCTTCCCCCTTCCCCCCAAGTCACTTTGATGTCTGTGCTATCCATAAAATAGATGAATGAGAGAGAAAGAAATGGGGTTTAACTTTCACTCAACACAAACCAAGTATATTTTAATTTTATATCAATAATTAGTTTGTGTGTAGGGTCTTTAGGCTGAGAATTGAAACCATGCCGTTTGACTCGATGACAGACCTTAATGACTAAAGCACATGTCTTAAACCATTTCCCCCCACCCCCCTTACTTAGTTCTTCTGAACATCTTAACATCTTGAATAATAGACTTACAGATCTTTCATCAATGGGAGACCACTCTGGAGGTATGTCCTGATGGTCGTCTTTCTGTCTATCTTCAGTATTATCATCACATTTCTCTGCTTCCCTTTTTTCTAATATATCTACAACCATCTCTGGTAATGTTTTCTTTAATTCATCTAGAAGAATACATTATAACATACATACAGGAGTAGACTCAATTTTTGCACGTAGGGGTCTTGAGCATTGGAAGTTAACCAAAGGACCCGAGAAAAACCCTACTAGTTGTTAAGCACAAATGTGACATCAAAACCATACCAGTTGAATCAGTGACAGACCTTAGACCATTTGGCCAACCAAAAAAATACACGTGACCATCTAATACCTCTGATGTCATCTGCATGTTTACAAGTGCTTATAACTTTTCAAACCCGATCAACAGCAGTTGGTTTGATTAGGCAGATTTAATCAAAATAAAATAAAAATTCAGAAATTTTTTTTAATTTGCCTTATATACTGGGTCATATACATTACCATACTTCATAACTTGTGTTGCACATTATTCTGTTTTGCATATGGTGTATTGTACATAAACCAACATACAATGAAAACTCAACATGTACCATAACAACAATTTTGGGACTAACATATGGTTTAATTCTATTTCAATAATTCGCTTGCGCGTAGGGATCTTTAGCAGTGGGAGGAACCGGAGGACCCGGAGAAAACCCACGAGGTTGGACAGGCCACCCTACTCCTTGTCACATACAACCGGGGATTCGAAATCATGCCAGCTGACTCAATGACAGGCCTTATGATACAGCACGCACATGCTAACCATTCGGCCATCCAACCCCTCCAACAATAAATAAAACACTTACCAATACTGTAAACACCCCTACAACTTTCTTCCAAACAAAACAAATATTTGAACTAAAAAATAACAAACCAAATGTATTATTCATAACAAATCAACAATCATTTAATCAAACCTGCTGATCTTCTTTTGTGAGATTTTCAATCTCTTGTAAACTACAATATTGTGAAAATTGAATCTTTAAATCGTGTCCAAAATCTACCGTTGATGTTGTGACTTTGTTTTCTAACTTAAATGTTTTGATTTTGTTTTCTTGCTTAAATGTCAAATAATCAATAGCAATGAAATAATAAATGGTGATTAATTAATTATTATGCTAATCAATGTTCTTTATACTAAGGCTGGAAAATGGCATCTGTGACAAACATTGGTGGACCTAAATACAGTTACATTTGTCTATTTTCTGCAAGATACGCCAACATTTGCCATAGATGGACGAAGACAGTGGTAATCAATAGGATTCATCCTCCCATTGTTCCAAGGCTTCCCATCAAGTTTGAAAAATATCTGTTAAAAACTTAAGCCTCTGTGTAGTGATTGTAAGGATTTCAGAAAAGAGGGGTAACTCTGGAATGGAAGGTCATTCAATGCTGAATAACAAGTCATGTTTCGTCTTCTCATGAACCCAATGTGTCACACCAAATTAGAACAATAGGTCGTGCAACGCATGTTTGAATTTATAGTTAGAGATCCAGGTGAAAAAGTTAACTAAAAAAAATGAAAGCTCAATTTTCCATTAAGATTTGGGACTGGATAATCCTTGCATGATGAGGGGGCCTTGTTAACTTGACATAAGAATTCTGTACTATTCTAGTAACGGTAAATATATTTCTAGATAATTTGCATACATTATCAAACAGGACTGGCATGCAAACGAGAAAACACAAAAAGCGAGAAAACACAAAAAGATCTTGTAGTACTCACCGTTTTTTCAAGTAAAACTTGTTTGGTATGTTCCTGGATACAAACTTCACAAAACACATGGCCATTAGAACAGCATGAAACCTTAATCAAACTAGTTTTCGTACATTTAACACAGATTATTTCTGATTGGTTGCTCTTATTTGTCAAAATGTTTGTTTCCATAGGAACAGAAGAGCCATAGTCTATCGATTGAGACATATTGATTGTGTATTTATAGCGTTTTCGTGGTGGCAAATTGTCTTGTGAAAGATCTGTGGTTCGTGAAAGACTTGGCTTTGGCGTTGATGTTGAATTAGAATTTGGTAGATACATGTCAAACAATGAGGATAAAAATCTGTCGTCATTATTCGAAACTGTTCCCTGATTGGTGTTGCATGCAGATGCAGCTGTATTTGTGGTTGATGAACAGGAAGCACCACTCTGATCTGCAGACTTGAGAACATTGTTTGGAGTTACCTGCACTTGATTTAAAAGATTTGCACTACTTGTTGAGGTTTGCATGCACATATTTGAATTAAACTGATTATCAGGCCCGATGCGTGAACATTTCAAATCGGAATTATAGTTTAATGGCGTTTGATTTGGAATATTTGCATAGTTTGTTGATATTCCGAGTGTTGGTCCCGTTTTAGGGGTTTCATGTGTACGTAAAGGATTAGCAGATGTACACAATTTGGGATCTTGATTGTCTGTTTCTGCTAACAGACGCACGTATTGCTCAATTTGTTGAAAAGCTTCATCTTTTGTGTCCGTATGAAGGGTAGAAGAGGGTTGAGTAGCTGCTGAGTTACTGGTTATTAAGAGTGAATCAACGAGGACGTCATTATTGTTATTTAATGTACACGATCTCATAGTAGTTACATAGGTTTGATTTGGGAATAAATCAGTTGTAGCACCATTCACTGAAAGACTATTTGCGTCTGCTTGAGCTGAGGTATTCACTGTTGCATCAAGCGTCTGATTGGCTAGATTTGTTGACGAGTTGGCTTGATGTTCGACTGATCTGTCGTTTTCATCCTTATTAGCATCTAAGTCCATTTGTGCATCTGCTGTCACCGTAGAGACATGGTCTTGACTTGTGCCTGCTGCAGAAGCATTGCTGCTATCTGTAACTCCTTGGCTATCTGGAGCTTTATTCAGGTGATCAGTGCCTGGAGGGCTAGAAGTATAACCTGCGGCACGTAACAGCTGATCAATTCCGTTACCAAAGACGTCTTCCAGATTAGTCTCGAGGTCCACGTTCTGTTTGCTGACAGACACAGAGGGTGTGGAGGTAGAATCATTATCATCATCGTCGTCATCTATATTACAAGTTGAATCACACAGCACTGTCTGTACACAATCTACAAAATAAAACAATTCAATCATTTTACAAATGTCAGTACTAGAAAATGTATCATGACACTGAAACCAAGAGTAGTTAAGTTTAGGAGAGGCATAGCGATTTTTTACGCTTGGTTTCTGCATCGTATCTCGACTTTGCTATCTTTAAGCCACTAACTGTCATTTGAGAGTAGTCGTTCGGATAGTACGAATAACTGAGGTCCTGTGTACACATTGGTGTGAATGTAAAGGATCCCTTGGCAGTTGGCTGCTGTCCGGGCAAAATTTCTCTCACAGCACACTGTATGGCATATGCCGGACTTCATTAGCCCAGTCAGAGCAGAACAGTAGGACGTTAAACCCCATTTCATTTTATTTGAGATATTTGCAGTATTGTGAAAGTTCAATCTCTAGGAGGATTATCAAACTTAATAAAGATTTATTTTGAAGAATGAAAGGGCAGTACCCTTACAGATACATTCCCATGAAAGTATTTATAGTATATTTGGCATATATGGAAAGTAGAGACAGTCAATTTTATTAGAAAAATACTGGATTCCCTGATAAAAAGCATTGGGGTGCTCACAGGACAAAAATGATTGAGTGACGTAAGGAAATGAAATGAAATGAGGTTTAACGTCCTACTGTTTTGCTCCAACTGGGCTAATGAAGACAGGGAGTGAAGTAAGGACTGCTTCTTATGTGTTGATCTAATCCAAGAATTTACTTTGGCTTTGGTATTTATGGTAAATACAATATATTTACCATATTGTAAAATGCTTGGAGAGGTATTTGAATCAAACTTTTGATAGATGAATTAATTTAAATATGTTTTTAGTCTAAATATATCATCAAATCACACTGTTTGTAAGCAGGAAGACATCTTTAAAATATTTGAGTTCAAGTTTTCATGAATAAGACCACCGGCATCTTAAGCATGATGTACAGGAGACAACTAGTTGCCAGCAACTGGGAGCAACTGAGTGGATACGATAAGTTTCCGATTTGTGTCAATGTCGATGTATGTGCGCTTGCAAATACACAAATCGACTTCAAACGCTCAATTTGTGTTAATTCAAGTAGCTGTGTCGATGTACGCCATTCTTTATTTCAAAATCAATACTAACCAGAAGGTTCTGCTTTAGATGGAGTATCTGTCAGTTTATTGATGGCGAGCGTAGCAGAAACAAAGATGACATCATTATCAACAACAGGTGGTTCTTCTTTAATAACAATAACATCATCGCCATCATCTGATTCATCTAAAAATACAATAATACCAATAAAATACGATAACAGGGGTTCACCAGGAATCTGAACAATGGGGGGTTCCAAGGTGGGGACAACTTCAAGTTTGGTTGAGGTCTGATGGTTTACCTTCCAATTTCATAAATTATAAAGCTCTGAGACAACTGCTCTATTTAACAGTATAGTCCCTCTGGACACATGCCTGTATTAACATCCAATTCATCTAAGAATACAATATTACAAACAATACAATAACAATGTCGACACCATTGTCGATAACTTCAATCTAAAATACATGAGCATTGATACACATGAATGACTGCAGCTAATTTCCTTAAATTAATGCGAGATAACTGTTAATTCATTTACTAAAAATAGTCGTAATGGACGGAAATAAAGACATATGATATTGAATAATCAAGCATAGAGATAAGCTTGTTATAAATAAGCAAGGGAAATCAATTATGTACTAAAAATACTTTTATGAACAAAAATAAAGACAAGATATTGAATAATCAAGCAAAGAGATAAGCATTTCACCTATTTCTAACTGAAATATTACAGGTACATGTACATGTAGTAATGGTATCTTTACATTTGAAATAAAAAAAGAATTTGAGATGATCATTACTTTTAAAATTTGTTTTTAGATTTTCACGTATTTAGAATATTGTCTGAAAAGGATGGCTGAAGTGCCTGAAGACTGCACCACACAAAAACAACAACCATGAGACTAATCTACGGACTAGACACCATATAAATAACAAAACCATAACATCAACAGAGATAAACTTAGCAATGAATACAAGAAAGATGCAATAGAAATGGTGTGACCAGTCTTGACAGTGGTTGTCTACTGAACATCGTTTCTAGATGGCAATGGTCTAACTAGGAGGTTGGAATTAAATTTAAGCTTCCGATCATCAGTTTACTTTTTGCACATTTTAATCCCAGCTAAAATGTTCCCAAATTGATTTTTCAACATTTAATCAAGAACAAAAAACCCAAAAAGGAATATGAGATAATCTCAGGACGTGGATTCAATAGGGTTATCGACTTTTATTGTCTGCATAAAATAACAAATGTCAAAACCAGCAGTTGCCAGGCAAGATATGGCCACATTTTGCAAGAGATGGATAGAGAACAAGCTATAAAAAAAGCTATTTTTCGTATAATCAGGAGCCATGATCCAGGAAGTTATAGTCTGCAATGTGCAAATATCGAAATGAACTGCGATATTTGGGACATAAAGATACATTATAAGTTTCATCAAAATTGGATAAAAATTGTGACTTCTAGAGAGTCCACAACCTTGGTAAAACTTTACAATATTTGCGTACAAGAGGCGGCCATTTTGTCCGGCAGTTTTGGTCCGATTTTCACGAAATTCGAACTCATCCATCATTATGGCTTAACGGTGATGTATTCAAACGTTTCTTTAAATCCGATAAAAATTGTGACGTCAAGCTAAAAACATGATTTTTCATACAATCAAGGGCCATAATTCAGGAAGTTACAATCAGATATGAAAATGTGGGCATATAAAAAAACTCAATTTATATCTTTGTAAATACTAACAGGTCTAAACCATTTTTGGATTGATATTTGTTTCCAAGATTCAACTTATAAAGGATTAACAACACCTCAAATGATGATCAGCTTATTTAATGTAATATATAGTGTAATGTAATAATAATAGAGAGTTCTCATATTACGCACAGATCCATTAAAGTTAATGCTCAAGGCACATTTAGCTCTCTGCTGATCACAAGATAAAAACACAGCTAATGTTAACAACTAATAAGCAGTCGAAAAAAGAAGAGTCTTTTAATTGCTTCTTGAAACAGCTAAGCGATTGTGAATGAACAATTTAGTTTACAAAGATAGTGGAGAGCTAAATAGGAACAACCACTACAGCACAGAAAGCAATAACTGACATACTATGTACATTTAAAATACAGATTTGACATCACCCTTTGATGTTATAATGGTATGGGCAACTTGCCAATCACACATTATTTATACTAGTGAAATATTGGACTCGCATGACGTATTTCATTGTATAAACATGTGTGGAGTGTCTATATTTTAAGTAGTTTAATGGTCTCTAGCTTAAGACATTGTGCAATAAAAGTAGGGATATTGAAATGCAAATACCTATGCAGGTTGTTATATGATAAATGGCCATGGACACTTGACATGCTTTGAGAGTTTGTTCACAGATAAAGAACTTATCGCCCCAACAGAACCACTGAGCTACACATGCGACACGCAATAGCACCATACACGTGGGAGGGGTCTATTGTCAAATTTGACACTTCAAGGAAGGGTTGATGAAAACTGCCGCATGCTGGTTTATCTATCCATGTTTGCTTTCCTATCAGTTCTTGCATAAGATTTACCGTTTAGCGTATCTTTGCTTTAGTGTGTTATGTTTAATTTGATCGGGAGATGTGTTAGTCGACGTCAACCGACAACACTGAAGAATTGGCCGTGGCACTGCAAGAGGAGTGGGTCAGATTGCCCCAAATCGTGCTTGGAGGGTTGGTTAAGTGCATGCCACGACGAATTGCTGAATGTCTGAGGATTGGTAGAGCAATTACTCATTATTAAGACAAAAATCAAAACATCCATTTTCACTTTTGACGGTATATGAACTGTTTATGTTCATGTGTAGGCAATTGGCTTGTTATTAACATACACTGGTTATCTCTAATAAAAACAGCAGTGCATTTCCACAGTTTTGTATTGTTTCTGAATATCCCCTACTTTTTTTGAAGAGTATATTAGTTAATGTTTGGCTCTCAACCATTAAACAACACTTAGTACACTGGAAGTAGATTGTGCACAAACTATAACGACCAAGACAGAGCTTTCTCCAAAGCTTATCAAATTACAAATACCATGTGAAAGTCTGGTTGTTCTAATGGATTGGATATCTACTAAGCTTGTCATTATAGTCAACTCCTAATTACTCAGTTTAGACCAAGACAGACCTCGAAAGCTCATCAAATATCATGTGAATGTATATGGTTGTTTGAACAGATTGGATATTTATTAAGCTTGTCATTATAGTCAACCCCCCAACTACTCCAGTCATGTGAGCACACAGCTTAGATTACATCCAACACATTCTAATTATTATTGAAATAATAGGTACTGTGTAAACTAATAATAAGTTTAGGTGAAAAACAGCAGTGGTGCTACATGTACTTCTCACTTTATCTGATGAATAATTTTATGTTGTTCTACGATTTATCCAAATCCACCATTATTTCAATTAAAAAGACAATAATTTATATCGATATTTGATAATATACTGTTCAGAATGCCAAATTGTCAACTCTAATTTACAATCACATTTTTGTGTCAATATGCGCCACAAAATGTGATTTCCAAGCAAGTTTGGAAGCTGTAACACCAAATCCACCAACATTTCAACTCATAAGAATAATTTATATCAGTACTAGATAATATACCGTTCTTTATGCTAAATTGTCATTTAAAATTCAAAATCGTAGCATTTTGTGTCAAAAATGCCCATCAAAATGCAATTTCCAAGCAAGTTTGGAAGGTGTAACCAAGGGACAAAACTAGTGTTTTGCGCAAAATCAGTTGCTTGGAAATTGCATTTTGATGGACATTTTTTAAACAAAAACATTACGATTTTAAATAAAATTGCCAATTTGGCATAAAGAACAATATATTATCAAATATAGATATAAATTGTTATAATATTAGCTGAAATAATCATGGATTTGTGTGGAGTAGGGTAGATTTGGGTGGATGTGGGTAAATCGGGCTACCGCCTAATTGTTAGGAATGGACAAGAAACCCAGGTCCTGTGTACACATTGGGAAGCACGTAAAAGAACCCTTGGCAGTTTGAATTCAAAATAAAAGTAGGCGGTAGTGCTGTTGTATTGCACACTGTATTGCGTATGCCGGTCTTCCTTAGCACAATTGGTGCAGGAGAGAAGGACATTAATTAAATCCCATTTCATTTCATGTACATGTATGTTCTTTGTTATTCTGTTTTATTCTGTAAATGCAGTTGAATCTTGTATTATAGTGTACATGTATATAGAGCTTAATCATGTGGCAGTTGTTCATGATTGAAGTGTTTAGTAACAATAATACATGTACACTTTTTTTCAAGACATTTAAATAAAATCAACATTTATAACTCTGGGCTAATGAACAATAATTATTAACTTCATATATAATTTAGATAAAACCTTCAATGTACATGTAACATAATTAATGCCTTAAATGTCAATGGAATATGTCTTTTAAGTTGTAATTACCTACATGTATGACTACAGGCTGAATAAACTGAATAACACATTGATCAATATTTCTTAATAAAGCACAATCTAGTTTATGGAATTCAAACAGAGGGAGAAATGGGGTTTAACATCCACTCGATACAAACCTGTTTATTTCAGGACCCAGAGAAAACCCATGAGGTTGGACAGGCGACCATACTCCTTGTTAAGTACAAGTGTGGGATCAAAACCATGACATTTGACTCAATGACAGACCTTATGATCTAAAGCCCCCCCCACCCCTCTTACACAGAACAACCTTTTTACAGACATTAAAGAATTCACCATATGCCATGAAACCTACCACAAATCGTGTTTAAAATAAATTGTCATATGACTTGTCATATAAAATACTGCATTAAGGAAAAGGGAATTTTTTGACCAAAGCTGTTGTGGTAACCATATGGCTTGTAAAAATACATTAAACATAGAAGGTTGTTCAGTACATTTTAATATCAGATAATTCAATAAATGTAAATAGTTTCTTTACAAAGGTTGTATAACTGAAATTACACGTCATTATGAAATAAATGTATTTTTGGATATATCCAAGGGGTATTACATGTACATGAATGTAAGAGCTAAATCTGCATACTGCGGGTCTTTTTTCTTCATATAAATGTTGTATAAATTATTATTTAGACATTTATTCACACGACCAGCCCATAATCAACTTTCTAAACTATT